TCATAGTGTGAATGATTCCAGTCCATAAATAAGTGGGTATTGCTATCCATTCTACCTGTGTCATATTTCTGTGATTATCTTCTCTGTTTTTATAGTGTGAATGATTCCAGACCATTCCTGTGAGATTGTCATTGTCAGCGTACATGAACAGGAAGTAGGCTAGACATAGAAAGGAGAACAGAGATGAGGTGACGTTTTAAATGTAAATGTATCTTTGTCTGATTCTCTCTGTACATATAGGCTTATGAGGAACAGAAAACAAAGTGTTTGACACCAGGCTGCCTACCGCCCAAAGTGAAACGTATTCTGGTCCTCTGCCAACATGACTGTGTCTGACAGCAGAGACAGACTAATGACAAGTCCAAACACATAACACCAGTGGGCTACAGTTATTCTGAGGAGGCGCAAAAAGACCTCGCTGAAAGAAGAGATGTGCTGAAAGAAGAGATGTGCTGAGAGAAGGGATGTGCTGAGAGAAGGGATGTGCTGAAAGAGTAGTGAAAGAAGAAATGCTGTCCTTTTGCTCACCCTCATGCTCTCCCTACCTCGCCCTCCTGCTCTCTCCCTCTCCCTCCTGCTCCCTCTCTCTCTCCCCCGCTCCCCCTCTCTCCCTCCTGCTCCCCCTCTCTCCCTTCCTGCTCCCTCTCTCTCTCTCTCTCCCTCCTGCCCCCTCTCTCTCCCTCCTGCTCCCTCTCTCTCCCTCCTGCTCTCCCTCTCTCCCTCTCCTCCCTGCTCCCTCTTCTCCTCCTCCTCCCCTCCTCTCCCTCCTCTCTCTCTCTCCCTCCTCTCCCCCCTCTCCTCCCTTCCTGCTCCCTCTCTCTCTCCTTGCTCTCTCTCTCCTCCTCGCTCCCCTCTCTCTCCCTTCCTGCTCCACTCTCCCCTCCCTCCTCGCTTCTCCCTCTCTACCTCCCTTCTCCCTCTCCCCTCTTCCCTCTCTGCTCCCCTCTCTCCTCGCCCCTGCTCCCCTCTCTCCCACTCTCTAGTTGCCCTAGGGTTTACTCCAGCCTCTCAGGCTCTATCCCGCTAACCCACCCTGCTCTCTCTCTCTCTGCCTCTAGCTCCCAGGGCTCGTAGCTCCCGGGCCTAGCTCCCAGGCCTCTAGTCCCAAGGGCTTAGCTCCAGGGCCTTAGCTCCAGGGCCCTAGCTCCAGGGCCTCTAGCTCCCAGGGCCTCTAGTCCCAGGCCTCTAGCCCAGGGCTCAGCCCAGGCTTAGCCGTCTAGCTCCCAGGGCCTGTAGCTCCCAGGGCCTCTAGCTCCCAGGGCCTCTAGCTCCCAGGGCCTCTAGCTCCCAGGGCCTCTAGCTCCCAGGGCCTCTAGCTCCCAGGGCCTCTAGCTCCCAGGGCCTCTAGCTCCCAGGGCCTCTAGCTCCCAGGGCCTCTAGCTCCCAGGGCCTCTAGCTCCCAGGGCCTCTAGCTCCCAGGGCCTCTAGCTCCCAGGGCCTCTAGCTCCCAGGGCCTCTAGCTCCCAGGGCCTCTAGCTCCCAGGGCCTCTAGCTCCCAGGGCCTCTAGCTCCCAGGGCCTCTAGCTCCCAGGGCCTCTAGCTCCCAGGGCCTCTAGCTCCCAGGGCCTCTAGCTCCCAGGGCCTCTAGCTCCCAGGGCCTTAGCTCCCAGGGCCTCTAGCTCCCAGGGCCTCTAGCTCCCAGGGCCTCTAGCTCCCAGGGCCTCTAGCTCCCAGGGCCTCTAGCTCCCAGGGCCTCTAGCTCCCAGGGCCTCTAGCTCCCAGGGCCTGTAGCTCCCAGGGCCTGTAGCTCCCAGGGCCTCTAGCTCCCAGGGCCTGTAGCTCCCAGGGCCTCTAGCTCCCAGGGCCTGTAGCTCCCAGGGCCTGTAGCTCCCAGGGCCTGTAGCTCCCAGGGCCTGTAGCTCCCAGGGCCTGTAGCTCCCAGGGCCTGTAGCTCCCAGGGCCTCTAGCTCCCAGGGCCTGTAGCTCCCAGGGCCTCTAGCTCCCAGGGCCTGTAGCTCCCAGGGCCTGTAGCTCCCAGGGCCTGTAGCTCCCAGGGCCTGTAGCTCCCAGGGCCTGTAGCTCCCAGGGCCTGTAGCTCCCAGGGCCTGTAGCTCCCAGGGCCTGTATCCACAAAGCATCAGAGTAGGAGTGTTGATCTAGGATCTGTCCATATCCACAGAGTGTACAAAATATTAAGAACACCTTCCTAATATTGAATTGCACTTCCTCCCCCCCCCCCCATTTTCCCTCAGAACAGCCTCAATTCCTCGGGGCATGGATCTACAAGGTGTCGAAAACTTTCCACAGGGATGCTGGCCCATGTTGACTCCAATGCTTCCCACAGTTGTGTCAAGTTGGCTGGATGTCCTTGGTGGACCATTCGGTGGTGGACCATTCTTAATACACACGGGAAACTCGAGTGTAAAAAAAAAATGTAAATGTAAAAATGAAAAACCCAGCAGGTTGCAGTTCTTGACACAAACCGGTGCGCCTGGCACCTACTGCCATACCCCGTTCAAAAGCACTTAAACCTTTTGTCTTGCCCATTCACCCTCTGAATGGCACACATACACAATCCATGTCTCAATTGTCTCAAGGCTTAAAAATCATTTTTTAACCTGTCTCCTCCCCTTCATCTACACTGATTGAAGTGGATTAACAACTGACATCAATAAGGGATCATAGCTTTCACCTGGATTCACCTGGTCAGTCTATGTCATGGAAAGAGATGTTGATAATGTTTTGTACAATAAAAACAGATAATAATATAATAATGCCATTTAGCAGACACTTTTATCCAAAGTGACTTAGTCATGTGTGCATACATTTTTACGTATGGGTGGTCCGGGGGATCGAACCCACTACCCTGGCGTTACAAGCGCCATGCTCTACCAATTGAGCTACAGAGGACCCACCTGATCAAATCAAATGTTATTTGTCACATGCGCCGAATACAACAGCTGTAGACCTTACCGTGAAACGCTTACTGACAATCCCTCAACCAACAATGCAGATTTTTTTTTTTTTTTTTTTTTACAAAAGTACTAAAAAAAGTAACGATCAGCCGAGGTGTCCTGAGATCTCTCCCTGGTTAAGAATGAGTAGGCTATATTAAACACACCATCAAGTCTGTCCCAGTACAGGGCTAGGGCCTATCCCATATGGCTCTCCATTCCCTACATAGCGCACTTCTTTTGACCAGGGCTCAAAGGACTCCGGTGAGAAAGTGTTCTACTATATAAAGGAATAGGGTGCTATTTGGAACACAATCCTAGTTTCAGAGCAACTGCTATGGCTTGAACTAAATCAACCCCAGCCTTTCTAACTGGCTGATGGGATAGGGCTGAGAGAGCGGGTTCACTTTGGGCTACGGACCAGCCAAGGCATTTAAGCACTAGATCCTCTTGGGTACCCTAATGGGAGATTTTATAGAGTGATTGCGAGATACGGTGAATGGATTGAACAGAGGAGCAGTCTACATGTGATTTTATCTTAAGTAAATCTAAGTGAGAGAGAGAGAGAGAGAGAGCGAGAGAGAGAGAGAGCGAGAGAGAGAGAGAGAGAGTAAGAGCGAGAGAGAGAGAGACACACACAGAGAGAGCGAGAGACACAGAGAGAGAGAGAGACAGAGACAGAGACAGAGAGGCAGCACCAACCACACGTTTAAATAATAACATGTAAAACAATCTTCAGTTCAACACCAAAAAAACTCTGTAGGAAAATATAGTACAAAACTTTAGCTCTTTTCTTCCCCTTCAACTCTGACAACAAAACTACATTAAAACTGTAAAGACAGGCATTGACAACAGTGTCACAAAATAGCTAGTATGGTCAAAGTAAAGTTTCAATAGTGTTTTTATTTTGATTTGTTTTGATTTATTTATCCTCTTTATTAACAAAAATATAAGCATTTTGAGATATCTTTGAGCTAACCCAGTTTCGGGACACACAGGAAAGACAATAGGAAGAGATCTGAAAGCTCTGGTATTGGTTCATTAGAGAAGGATACTAGTATGTACCACAGACAGACAGACAGAGACACACACACACACAAAGAGAGACACACACACACACACAAAGAGAGAGAGAGACACACACACAAAGAGAGAGAGCGAGCGAGCGAGAGAGAGAGACACAGAGAGAGAGCAGAAGAGAGAGAGAGACACACAAAGAGAGAGAGAGAGAGAGAGAAAGAGACACACGTGACGGTCTATGTACATTGCCATGCTGATCTGGACATAGTTCACGCTCAATGGATTCACTCATCATCATATAGCCTTACAGACAATAACAGGAAATATAAGAGATGCACAGTTTGCAAATATTATAGGGCAACCTCAAGCTTGGAAAGCAGATATTCCATTTCCTGTCAGAAACTCCTCTCTGATCCATCCCTGGTTTTGACTCAGTCCTGGTTTATAATATAGGGTTCTGATCCATCCCTGGATTTGACTCAGTCCTGGTTAATAATATAGCAATCAGACCCACCCCTGGTTTTGACTCAGTCCTGGTTTATAATATAGGGTTCAGATACACCCCTGGTTTTGACTCAGTCCTGGTTTATAATATAGGGTTCAGACCCATCCCTGGTTTTGATTCAGTCCTGGTTTATAATATAGGGTTCAGATCCATCCCTGGTTTTGACTCAGTCCTGGTTTATAATATAGGGTTCAGATCCATCCCTGGTTTTGACTCAGTCCTGGTTTATAATATAGGGTTCAGATCCATCCCTGGTTTTGACTCAGTCCTGGTTTATAATACAGGGTTCAGACCCATCCCAAAGGCCTCTCTCCATGCTAGCTGCTAGCAGTCTGCCAGTCAGTTGGTTTTCATTCAGTCCTGGTTAAGAGTAGGTTCCTTCGACTAGAGGTCGCTGCCAGTCATTCAGGGGCGTTGTTTGAGCTCTGCCAGCCTGCCAGTCAGTGAGTTCAGGGGCGTTGTTTGAGCTGTGCCAGCCTGCCAGTCAGTAAGTTCAGGGGCGTTGTTTGAGCTGTGCCAGCCTGCCAGTCAGTGTGTTTAGGGGCGTTGTTTGAGCTGTGCCAGCCTGCCAGTCAGTGAGTTCAGGGGCGTTGTTTGAGCTGTGCCAGCCTGCCAGTCAGTGTGTTTAGGGGCGTTGTTTGAGCTGTGCCAGCCTGCCAGTCAGTGAGTTCAGGGGCGTTGTTTGAGCTGTGCCAGCCTGCCAGTCAGTGTGTTTAGGGGCGTTGTTTGAGCTGTGCCAGCCTGCGGAGTAGCTGCTGCTGCCTGGCCTTCAGCTGCCGTTTCTCCTGTGCCCGCTTGCGCTCGCTGGAATGCAGCTGTGCCAGGTACTCCGTGGCGCGCGTCAGGATGGCCACCTTGGGCGTCTTGGGGCACTCAGCCAAGCCGGGGATCTCATCCCGCAGTGTCAGGAAACGAGAGCGCAGGTCATTGCGCCGTTTCCGTTCCAGGAAGTTGTGTGTCTTGCGTTTGTCTGTGTCCTCACAGTCGGAGGACTGGGGGCTGCAGGGGTGGGAAAAGGGTGATGGGGGAGAGGCAGAACCACAGGGGGAGGGTGTGTTGGCGTCGTGTGATTCCGACCCAGCGGTTGCTACGGCGACATGTGGTTTGCTCTCAGAGTTCTGATTGGATGTGGAGGCCGGGGCCGGGTGTGGCTGGGTGTGAGAGAAGTTAGAGAAGTTATGAGAAGAGTTTGGGGGCTCGTGTCGGACCCTCTTCCTGGGGGGGTTAGGGGGTGTGTGTGTGTCGGGGTGTGTGTCTGGGGAGGGTGCTGCGTAGTTGTGGTGCTGTTGGTGGATAGAGATGTGGAAGCGTTTCATACACGGGTCCAGAGTGTCCGTCCGGACCATGATTGTCACCGGCGTCCGCCTGTTTAGCCCACTGCCTCGCCCCCCAGTAACTGTGCCGTTGACCAGCCGCCGGGGCTTGTACTGCTTGTGTTCCACCGTCACCACATCAATCTCCTCTTCATCATCCTCATCCTCATCACTAGATTCATCATCTAGAGGAGCAATGAATGGAAAAGGTTAGTGACCACAGCAAAACAATAATGTGACAATAAGTGTGATGTTGATTCCATTCAATCACTATTCATTGACCCTTTTGACAGCGTCACCATATCTCATTAACAGCTGTTGTCAAACACACATGGGTCTTGAAAAGCCACTCTCTTCTTCATTAGTCTGCAGCCAATTCTACTAGATGAAAAGCCTAAATGAGTTTGATATCCTGGCATTTAAAGCATACTACATTTTCTATATTTTACATACTGTAAAAAGTTCTTTTTTTTGCAACACCCCAAAATGCCTACTATTTAGAACGTAGGTACAGGTATTTAGAGAGTGGCCACACACTCTCAAACACTGCACAACACACACTCTCATACAGAATCTAAAAAATGCATAACATACACAATCACTGCATAGCTCAGCCACAAGAGGTTGGTGAAACCTCCCCTCAGCAGCCTCCACTGACCTCAGCCTCATGCTCGGTGGAAAGTCCCTCTCTCCGGTTATTCATTTCAGTCATGTGAGTCATGAGAGAGAGAGAAATAGAGAGAGAGAGAGAAATAGAGAGAGATAGAGAGAGAGAAATAGAGAGAGAGAGAGAGAAATAGACAGAGAGAGAGAGAAATAGAGAGAGAGAAATAGACAGAGAGAGAGAGAGAGAGAGAGAGAAATAGACAGAGAGGAGAGAGAGAGAGAGAGAGAGAGAGAGAGAGAGAGAGAGAGGAAAGAGAGAACATAGACAGAGTATGACAGAGATAGACGAGAGAGAAGAGAAGAGCTCCAGGCCACGTCCAGACCACTGCACAACCAAACACACCCCCACCCCAACCGATCAATACCCCCCCCCCAAGCCAACCATGCCCACACCCCATATAGGCCCCCCTCAGATCAGACCAATGCCCCCCCTACCCACCCCATGCCCCCCACTCCTGCCAAGAGGGCCTGAAGATGAAAGTCACACATACGCCCAGGCCGTGAGAAGGCAAACAGGCCCAACACCCCACTCTTACACTAGCCCAAGCCAATGGCATGTATCAGATGCTCAGCAGGCTCTGCTCACACCTACTGGTCTGAGGCCAAACCACACAACTATGGAACACAAAGCCTTCACTATCTCATGCTGGAATATTTAAGGTCTGAGGTCATCTGCCTTTGACCTAAAGAGCAGGAACCCAGACTTCAAAGAAATCAGAAATACAGACATCTTCATCCTACAAGAAACATGGTATAGAGGAGACGGACCCACTGGTTGCCCTCTAGGTTACAGAGAGCTGGTAGTCCCATCCACCAAACTACCAGGTGTGAAACAGGGAAGAGTCTAAGGGGGTATGCTAATTTGGTATAGAGCAGACCTAACCCACTGTATTACATTAGTCAAAACTGGAACATTTTACATCTAGCTAGAAATTAATAAGGAAATAATCTCATGTGTGCTACCTATATCCCCTAATAGAATCCCCATAATTTAATGATGACAGCTTCTCCATCCTGGAGGGGGAATTCAATCACTTCCAGACCCAGGGACATGTACTAGTCTGTGGCGACCTAAATGCCAGAACTGGACAAGAACCTGACACTCTCAGCACACAGGGGGACAAACACCTACTTGGAAGTGACAACATTCCCTCCCCCATATGCCCCCCTAGACACAACTACGACAACATAACCAATAAAAACGGGTCACAACTCCTGCAGCTCTGTCGCACACTGGGTATGTACATAGTCAATGGTAGGCTTCGAGGGGACTCCTATGGTAGGTACACCTATAGCTCATCTCTTGGCAGTAGTACTGTAGACTACTTTATCACTGACCTCAACCCAGAGTCTCTCAGAGCATTCACAGTCAGCCCACTGACACCCCTATCAGACCACAGCAAAATCACAGTATACTTGAACGGAGCAATACTCAACCACAAAGGCATCAAAAGCCCAACGAACTGCATGCTATTAAGAGAAGACAGGATGTGGCCCACTGCCCACAAAATGAGCTCGAAACCGAGCGGCACTTTCAAACCTCCTTCCAAATGGCTCCTGATTGGCGCAGCGGTCTAAGACACTGCATCTCAGTGCTAGAGGCGTCACTACAGACCGAGTGGCGCAGCGGTCTAAGGCACTGCATCTCAGTGCTTGAGGCGTCACTACAGACCCCCTGGTTCGATTCCAGACTGTATCACAACCGGCCGTGATTGGGAGTCCCATAGGGCGGCGCACAATTGGCCCAGCGTCGTCCGGGTTTGGCCGGTGTAGGCCGTCATTGTAAATAAGAATTTGTTCTTAACCGACTTGCCTAGTTAAATAAAAATAAAAATATACGAGACACATTATTTCCCTCAAATTACACAAACCCACAAAGAATTCGAATACAACTCAAATTGACAAACTCGCGTATCTGTGAGGCGGAATTTCGCAGTGTGCAATCAAAAGTTGTGACCTGCTGCCACAAGAATAGGTCAACCAGTGGTCAGAAACACCAACGTAAATATAACAGTCTAGTGTTCTCAAATTCTGATTCACAACAAGGGACACCGTCTCAGAGCGAATCACTGGTTTTATCAGCGTCTCTCTCCCTCTCTCTCTCCACAATCATTCAATTTGAAATAAGACCGGGCAATCAAGCCACGTGCTGTAAGCGTTTCACTACAGCCATTCATTCACTATACAAGAATAATATTTTAGGTATCGTTGGTTGTAAGAACGTCAGCCATTCACAATGCAGAAATATCTTAGCCGTGTGTCAAAATGTGACGTTTAACACTGGGACCTTGATTTAACATAATGCAAATGTAATGGTTGATTTCAGCTCCAACTCTGACTAGACTCCAGGGAGCCAGTGGTAGCAGTACCGCTGCTCTCTCATCCCTTCTCAAATGGCACCCTAGTCCCTATAGACTGATCTACTTTTGACCAGAACCAAAAGGGCAAAAGTAGGGAATAAGTGTGCCATTTGGTAAACTGAACAGAGACATTTTACATTTTAGTCATTTTAGCAGACGCTCTTATCCAAAGCGACTTAGTTAGTGAGTGCATACATTTTTTTTTTTCATACTGGCCCCTCCCGTGGGAATCGAACCCACAACCCTGGCGTTGCAAACGCCATGCTCTACCAACTGAGCTACACGGGGCCAAAGTAATTGCTTCCTGGATTCGGCTTCAAGACAGAAGATGAATTTAATAGGACTCCAATGGGCCAAAGAGAGGAGGGGCTTATAGGTTATTGAGCAGAGGCTATTCAACTGGTGGCCCGTGGGTCAGATCCAGCTCGTTTATCAATTTTTAAAAACGGTCCTTCACAAGTACAGTGAAATGCCTTTCTTGCAAACTCCAACCCCAACAATGCAATAATCAAATCAAATTGTATTAGTCACATGCGCCGAATACAACAGGTGATCACCTTACAGTGAAATGCTTACTTACAAGCCCTTAACCAACAATGCAGTTTTAAGAAAGAATACACACAAAAAAATCACAAAAATATACTATATAAAAATAATATGAAATAAAAGTAACATTGTAATACTCAACAACAACAAAAACTGGAGAAATAAGAATATGAAGAACACAATAAGTAAGCATACTATTTACGGGGTCAGTTCCAATACCATATGAACAATGTTCAGGGATACTGGAGTGATGGAGGTAGATATGTATAGGGGTAAGGTGACTATATACAGGGTCAGGCCCAGTACCATATTAACAATGTGCAGGGATACTGGAGTGATGGAGGTAGATATGTATAGGGGTAAGGTGACTTTATACAGGGTCAGGTCCAGTACCGTATTAACAATGTTCAGGGATACTGGAGTGATGGAGGTAGATATGTATAGGGGTAAGGGGACTATATACAGGGTCAGTTCCAGTACTATATGAACAATGTGCAGGGATACTGGAGTGATGGAGGTAGATATGTATAGGGGTAAGGTGACTATATACAGGGTCAGTTCCAGTACTATATTAACCTCTAAGGGATCGGTGTCCCATATACGGGACGGTTGAGCTAACGTGCGCTAATGTGATTAGCATGACTGTTGTAAGTAACAGCAAAACTTTCCAGGACATAGACATGTCTTAAATGGGCAGAAAGCTGAAATTCTTGTTAATCTAACTGCACTGTCCAATTTACAGTAGCTATTACAGTGAAAAAATACCATGCTATTGTTTGAGGAGAGTGCACAACAACAAAAAACGTATCATGGCAACTGGTTTGATACATTCACCTCTGAAGGTAAATAAGGTACTTACATTCAGTATTCTTCCTCTGATTTGTCATCCTAAGGGTCCCAGAGATCAAATGTAGCATAGTTTTGTTTGATAAAACCCAATTTTTGTATTAAAATGTAGGAACTGGGTTCTACAGTTTGAACCCCTTGCTGTCTCTGGCTCCACACCCACCTCGCCCGGCCATCTAGATGTGTGAAAGTTAGTGTATAAGCTAATGATCCATCATGTATGACATTCCTGGGAGTGAGTAAACTTACAATTTGTATTTAAGGAATACCTGGGATAGGATCAAGTAATCCTTCTACCCCCCCCCCCCCCCCCCCCCCCCCCCCCCCACCCACCCCTTACCCCACCCCCCAAAAATAAAATAAAATAAGATAAGAGCGTCTGCTAAAAGATGAAAATGTAAAAATGTATTACCATATCATTTTTGTATGTTCTCTATAGGTATGTACTTGAAAATCTATCAATTGACCTATTCGGCACATTTGGGCAGACTTGATACAAAATAGTCAAGTATTGCAATGCTTCAAAAAGAAAGGAGGCCCAAGGCACTCTTCATATAATTAATTAAAATGCCTTTATTAGTATGTCATGTTCAATAGAAACAAGATTTTTATCCGACGCGTTTCGGCTGCATGGCCTTCGTCAGGGAGTATTGCAATGCTTCACTGGATCAATCTGAAACTTTGCATACACACTGCTGCCATCTAGTGGCCAAAATCTAAATTGTGCCTAAACTGCAATATATTGTGGCCTTTCTCTTTCATTTCATAGATGATTAAAACATTTTTAAAAAATGCATGTTTATAGGGACCTGTTATCTACTGATGGGGGGGGGGGGAGAGAGTCTGCAGAAGATAGTCAACTGAGAAATGCCATGCATAAAAGGTTTCCTATGTGTAAATAAAACCAAACGATGAAGCGATGTATGTAAAATGGACAGGAAAGTAGAAATTAATTAACTGTGTTATAAGTACACGTGTGTTACATTAATTACAAAAATGTAAGCACTGAATTAGGCTCATTTTAAAGCACTTAGAATGAACTTTTAGCAACATCTAATTGTAATAAAAGTGCTTCATAAGATTATAATTGTGTTTTTGCTTTGTTTTGTTTTTTATAGTGCTTTTAGGAAGAGTAATCCCATGTAGAACATGTCTGACCTGTAAATAACCTTTTTTTTTTTTTATCTGGCCCCTTAAGAATATAGTTGAATATCTATAGAGCGTTATCATGCATGGAGTCAGATAGAGAATAGGATAGATTGGTTCCTTGGTCTCGGTCTGTCAACCAACTAGTACCTTTCTGAGGTGTATTCTGCATTTTCCATTCAACTCTTCTGCGCTGAACTAGTGTATGCCTACCTGCACAGATTAATCATGAATATCCTAGCTTTCTGGCACCCAACCCCCTTTCACACCGTATTGAAATAGATGAGACCACATTTCTGACATAAATATGAATATCAAGCCTCGTATGAAAACAGTGTCACACATTGCAAGAGATTTAACGAGATGAATGTCCTTTCTTATCACTGGCCTACTTGTCCGTCACTCATAGTTTGAACAAACCCAGCTTCTGATGGCGCTGTTGCCCCTTCAGTTCAGTGCAGGAAGGAATGCTGAGAGCACTGCAACAAGTCTCCGTTGTGACATTCCACACACATTAGATAGGGAGACCAGTCACATGCCAACCTAATCACCTATATAACTAGCCTACACTGAAGGCCAATGGAAAGTAGGTCTATGAAATGAAAAGAATGTAGCGACCATATTTATTACAAGTTATTCGGGTTATCCAATAAGTGCATCGCAGGTACTTAAAATATCAAACTAATGTGTTTCTTTCAGTGCAGTTGAGGATTAGGAAACGGTAAGAACATTAAAAGGGAACAGTGACATAGTTAGACTAGAGAAGTGAGAGGAACACAGGACACTGTTCTTTCTAGCAGCTGAGCTTTTGGACCATAGCCAATCAACAGATGTTTAAATGGGCGGGTCATTCTCACAAAGCAGTGGCGCTGCCAGGGGCAACGCAATGCAGTCACTAAGCCTATAGCCTTCAGTGGGGGGGATTTAACAGCCACATTACAACCAATACTGTTCAGAAAAACCCATTTTGAAAACTGATAATAGCCCATCTTGCATTCCTTGCCACCTAGCCTAAACCTTAGTGGCCAGTAAGGTCACTATGGCAAATTGGCAGCATCCACACTTATGATTGACAATATATAGGAGCTTTTTAATAGTCAGTTTCACAGTCCAATGGTGAACGTATAACGTACCTGATGAGTCTTTGTGGGTCTCTGAACCGGAGGACACTGCCGGTTTCTTAAACGGTCCCCCGGTTAGCGGGAAGGGGAGAACAGCAGCCGGGTCCACGTAATCCGTCGCCAGGCTACCGAGAACCGGAACCGCCACGTCCACTGGCACCGTCACGCACTGCGCCCTCCCGGCGGCGGTGACGCCAGCTCCCGACGCCTGCACGGACAGTTTGGTCGGCCCCGACACCGGACAGGAGGCAAGCCGCTCCCCGACAACTTTCTCCAGCTGCTTGCCAGCCGAGAAGCCGCTCCACATGCAGTCCTGGATGATAATGGAGCTCAGGTTCCCCAATGCCTCGTCGGCGGGGCTCTGTTTGCACGGCACATCCTGGTCGTGCTCTTGACCTAAAAACTGGGACACCCACTCGAGTTTGTCCCCCAGCGAAGGGTAGACCACCCCGACCCCGGCGGCCCCCTCCGAAGTCCGGATAGGGGACATGGGCGGGGTCGGTACTAGTTCGAATTTTTTCCATATGTCCTCGCTGGGCGCAGTGGATTTAGAGAAAGTCTCGTCCAGACCGTGGTCATCGTAGAAGTAATGTTGGTAGTGATCGTACTCCATCTCCCAGCCTGACTCATAGCGAGAGGCGGTGGTGGAGTTTATGCCCGGCATTTAGAGGTCAGGGCAGGCGTGGGTCAGGAAGCGCACTCTTCAACTGTGAACTGATTTCCGTTATCACTAGCCTACCAGGTGTCAGAGAAAGAGGACACTGGGAATCAGCCAAGCACGTTCGACTGTTATGATAAACACAGTAGTCTGTTATGATAAGGCTATTGTGTTTCTGTCCATCTTACAACTGTCAATTTCAAGTGAAAACATTTCCTTCTTAAATAAGGAAGTGTGGGTTATCACGATTTATCATTAACACTATGCTTTTATAGATTTCTAATTGCATAGGGCATGTCAAGTCGCTTATGCTTCCTTGATATGTTTTGTTTGAAAGGTTATTTGGTTCTAGATTCGGTAATTATAGGCCTATTGCAACCAATTACCCCGTGAACTATCGTTAATAGCTGCACTGAAACAACCTGGCTGCTACAATGTTGCAAATGATTGTTAGAAACATTGTTGTCACTGTGCCGTCATGGCCTCAGAACAGTGTACAACGATAGAACACCAAGTTTCGCACCATTCCATTATACAAACAGTGCCACTACACCGGTGAAATACATCAACAGTTAAGCAACCCTCTTTGTAGGCTAAAAGCCAAAAGCTTATAACACCCTGTGTGTTTATTCAGGGCTACTTGGCTTTTAACATGCCCTTTTAAATGGTGGCCAAAACAACAAATGCCCATATGTCTCAATAACAAAAAAGTTTTGCGTCCTCAGCAACACTCACCGTTTTTTTTTACCGTGGCCAACACACCGTTATTATCTCACAAAGCATTGAGAAGCAAGAGAGAAAATGAATTCCAATCCACTGATAGACCTAAGTCTAGCCTAATGAAATAACAACAGGCGTGTTCCACAACCCAAACTTGTGAAACACTGCGATGTATGCTTTCTAGTAGTTGGCGTTAGTCAATAAATAGAACACACTTCCGTCCGGGAATGGAGAAAGATTTGTTTTATCTTTGTTAAATATTTGAATAATCCTTTTAGCGTTGGTGAAACTAAAGGGGCGTCTTCTTAATTAATTCCTATAATGCGTAGTAACCAACACAGCGACACGGAAGCGTCTTGCGGTAAATGACTCTCACTAATTAGCTGTAGCTTTCAGTTGAACGCTCACTATTTGACTCCTGCGCAGTGTGCGCACCAAACTGTCTGGGAAAAGTAACTCGAAGGTCTACTTCCCATAACCAGCGACTTGGATAGATTTCACAACCGACACTAGACAAGCCTGACTACTGCACAATATGATGCGGTAGGGAGGACAGTGATTAGCTTAAAAGGCGGGGGGAATAGGAAAGTCACGCCTACCGTTTAAAGGGACATAGTCATTTCCAAGGAATGGGGGGGGGTACCTAGTCAGTTGTACAACTTCATGCGTTCAACTGAAATGCGTCTACCGCATTTAAACCAACCCCTCTGAATCGGGGCGCCCGGGGACATCCACGGCGCCCGGGGAACCAGTGGGTTAATTGCCTTGCTCAGGGGCAGAACAACAGATGTTTTACCTTGTCAGATCGGGGATTTGATCCAACAAACCTTTCGGTTACTGGCCCAACGCTCCTTATCGCCATGGTAACTGTCACGATGTCAAATTGTTTGACTGTGATTTAATTGATGACAATGTGACCGTGATGTATACCTCACCTGAGCCACGGGCCTGTTCACCCCGGTACCATCTAGAAGAAGGAGGAGGAAGTAAATAAAGGTGCATCAAAGCTGGGACCGAGAGACTGATAGACAGCTTCTATCTCCAGGCCACCAGACTGTTAAACGGTCACCACTAGCCGGCCTCCGCCCAGTATCGTGCCCTGAACCTTTAGACACGGTCACTATCCGGCTACCACCCAGTACTCTACCTTGCACTTTAGAGACTGCTGGTCACTTTAATAATGTTTACATATTTTTTTAACGCACTTTGTATCCTACTGTATTCTAGTCGTCATTGGCTCATCCTATATAACTACTGCTGTCCATACCGTCTATACACACCATCCTATATAACTACTGCTGTCCATACTGTCTATAGACACCATCCTATATAACTACTGCTGTTCATACTGTCTATAGACACCATCCTATATAACTACTTGCTGTCCATACTGTCTATAGACACCATCCTTATAAATTGCTGTTCAACGTCTATAACACCATCCTATATAACTACTGCTGTTCATACTGTCTATACACACCATCCTATATAACTACTGCTGTTCATACCGTCTATACACACCATCCTATATAACTACTGCTGTTCCATACTGTCTATACACACCATCCTATATAACTACTGCTGTTCATACCGTCTATACACACCATCCTATATAACTACTGCTGTTCATACTGTCTATAGACACCACCTATAATATGCGTCCTATGTCTAGACACTCCTATAACTACTGCTGTCCATACCGTCTATACACACCATCCTATATAACTACTGCTGTTCATACTGTCTATAGACACCATCCTATATAACTACTGCTGTCCATACTGTCTTAGACACCATCCTATATAACTACTGCTGTCCATACGTCTATACACCCATCCTATATAACTACTGCTGTCCATACTGTCTATAACACCATCCTATATAACTACTTGCTGTCCATACCGTCTATAGACACCATCCTATATAACTACTGCTGTCCATACTGTCTATAGACACCATCCTATATAACTACTGCTGTCCATACTGTCTATACACACCATCCTATATAACTACTGCTGTTCATACCGTCTATAGACACCATCCTATATAACTACTGCTGTTCATACTGTCTATAGACACCATCCTATATAACTACTGCTGTCCATACTGTCTATACACACCATCCTATATAACTACTGCTGTTCATACTGTCTATAGACACCATCCTATATAACTACTGCTGTCCATACTGTCTATAGACACCATCCTCTATACTAACTACTGCTGTTTCATACTGTCTATAGACAACCATCCTATATAACTAACTACTGCTGTTCATACTGTCTATAGACACCATCCTATATAACTACTGCTGTTCATACTGTCTATAGACACCATCCTATATAACTACTGCTGTTCATACTGTCTATAGACAACCATCCTATATAACTACTGCTGTTCATACGTCTATAGACACCATCCTATATAACTACTGCTGTTCATACTGTCTATAGACACCATCCTATATAACTACTGCTGTTCATACTGTCTATAGACACCATCCTATATAACTACTGCTGTTCATACTGTCTATAGACACCATCCTATATAACTACTGCTGTTCATACTGTCTATAGACACCATCCTATATAACTACTGCTGTCCATACTGTCTATAGACACCATCCTATATAACTACTGCTGTCCATACTGTCTATACACACCATCCTATATAACTACTGCTGTCCATACTGTCTATAGACACCATCCTATATAACTACTGCTGTTCATACTGTCTATAGACACCATCCTATATAACTACTGCTGTTCATACTGTCTATAGACACCATCCTATATAACTACTGCTGTTCATACCGTCTATAGACACCATCCTATATAACTACTGCTGTTCATTACTGTCTATAGACACCATCCTATATAAACTACATGCTGTTCATACTGTCTATAGACACAATCCTATATACTAACTGCTGTCCCATACGTGTCTATACACACCATCCTATATAACTACTGCTGTTTCATACTGTCTATAGGGACACCATCCTATATAAAACTACTGCTGTCCAATCTGTCCGATAGACACCATCCTATATACTACTGATGTTTCAATACTGGTCTATAGACACCAATCCTAATATAACTCTGCTTGTCCATACTGTCTATAGGCACCATCCTATATAACTACTGCTGTTCCTACCTGTCTATAGACACCATCCTATATAAACTACCTGCTGTTCATACTGTCCTATAGGACACCATCCTATATACAGTACTGCTGTTCATACTGTATATAGACACCCAGCCTATATAAACTACTGCTGTCCATACTGTCTATAGACACCATCCTATATAACTACTGCTGTTCATACTGTCTATAGACATTATTCACATACATATATATTATTTATATTCCGGACCTGCTCTAGAAACAGGCCAGAGTTCCCGACTTGGAATTCCTAGTTGGATGACCTTTCAAAACGAATTTTCCCAATCGGAGCTCGTTTTTTTCCGAGTTCCCAGTTGTCTTGAACGCACTGAAGTCGGAGATTTCCGAGTTCCGAGTTCAGAGCTCCCAGTTGTCTTGAACTGGGCATAATTTCCTGTAATTCTATCCATTTTGCTATGGGGTTTTGTACTGTGTATTTAAAAATACTGTATTCTCGACATAGCTCATTCTAATATTTCTACTAATTTACATTGCATTTTAGTTACACTGTTTATACACACCGCATATTATATAAATACATTATTTTTGGAATGCTGCTAGATTGCTATTTGGGCTGTTATTGGATTCATTCCGAAATGAATCTATTTCCTGTTGTTCATTCAGTTGTTTTATTTATCCTGTTTGACATTTTACTACATTGTTAGGAGCTAGTAGCATAAGTTTTTTTTTCTTTTTTCGCTGCACCCGTTATGACATCTGCTAGACTGTGTACGCGACCAATAAGCTTTGATTTGATGTGTTTTTTACCAGGATATGGTGTGTGTGTGTATGTGTGTGTTGTGTGTGTGTGTGTGTGTGTGTGTTGTGTGTGTGTGTGTTGTGTGTGTGTGTGTGTGTGTCTCTGTGTGTGTGTGTGTGTTTTTGTCTCTCTGTGTGTGTGTGTGTGTGTATGTGGGTGTGTGTGTGTGTCTCTGTGTGTGTGTGTGTGTCTCTGTGTGTGTGTGTGTGTTGTGCCAAACATATGGCTGCGGTGTCTGATGTCCTCAGTGTATCTTAAGGCTTGCAGACATCACACTGAATGTGGAACTAGACTTAGTCTGCCGATCCTTCAGCGCACTGTGTTTTAGGTACCACCCGTTGTAGACGCAAGACTGGTTTCAAGACTGGTTTCAAGACTGGTTTCAAGACTGGTCATTCAACTGAGACTGCTCTTCTCTGTGTCACGGAGGCTCTCCGCACTGCTAAAGCTAACTCTCTCTCCTCTGCTCTCATCCTTCTAGACCTGTCTGCTGCCTTTGATACTGTGAACCATCAGATCCTCCTCTCCGAGTTGGGTATCTCCGACGCTGCTCACTCTTGGATTGCGTCCTACCTGACCGGTCGCTCCTACCAAGTGGCGTGGTGAGAATCTGTCTCCGCACCACGTGCTCTCACCACTGGTGTCCCCCAGGGCTAATTTCTAGGCCCTCTCCTATTCTCGCTATACACCAAGTCACTTGGCTCTGTCATATCCTCACATGGCCTCTCCTATCATTGCTACGCAGACGACACACAACTAATCTTCTTCTTTCCCCCTTCTGATAACCAGATGGCGAATCGCATCTCTGCATGTCTGGCAGACATATCAGTGTGGATGACGGATCACCACCTCAAGCTGAACCTCGGCAAGACAGAGCTGCTCTTCCTCCCGGGGAAGGACTGCCCGTTCCATGATCTCGCCATCACGGTTGACAACTCCGTTGTGTCCTCCTCCCAGAGTGCGAAGAGCCTTGGCGTGACCCTGGACAACACCCTGTCGTTCTCCGCTAACATCAAGGCAGTGACCCGATCCTGTAGGTTCATGCTCTACAACATTCGGAGAGTACGACCCTGCCTTACACAGGAAGTGGCACAGGTCCTAATCCAGGCACTTGTCATCTCCCGTCTGGATTACTGCAACTCGCTGTTGGCTGGGCTCCCTGCCTGTGCCATTAAACCCCTACAACTCATCCAGAATACCGCAGCCCGTCTGGTGTTCAACCTTTCCAAGTTCTCTCACGTCACCCCGCTCCTCCGCACACTCCACTGGCTTCCAGTTGAAGCTCGCATCTGCTACAATACCATGGTGCTTGCCTTTCGGAGCTGTGAGGGGAACGGCACCTCCGTACCTTCAGGCTCTGATCAGTCCCTACACCCAAACGAGGGCATTGCATTCATCCACCTCTGGCCTGCTGGCCCCCCTACCTCTGCGGAAGCACAGTTCCCGCTCAGCCCAGTCAAAACTGTTCGCTGCTCTGGCACCCCAATGGTGGAACAAGCTCCCTCACGACGCCAGGACAGCGGAGTCACTTACCACCTTCCGGAGACATTTGAAACCCCACCTCTTTAAGGAATACCTGGGATAGGATAAAGTAATCCTTCTACCCCCCCCTTACCCCACCCCAAAGAAAGAAAAAAAAAAAAAACATATTGTAAAGTGGTTATCCCACTGGCTATAAGGTGAATGCACCAATTTGTAAGTCGCTCTGGATAAGAGTGTCTGCTAAATGACGTAAATGTAATGTAAATGTAATTTTTCACTCAATTCTACATCTACAAATCGTTGAGCACTCGGTTCGCAAATTACGTTCAGAGGTGCTAAGTACTCTCGGCCAGCAAACACTACTGGAGTGTCTAATCCTTGTATTGATAAGTGTGTCTTATATTATGTCTGTGATCAATATCATCCTTATGATGTGAAAGACCCCCACTGTCTCACACACACACACACACACACACACACACACACACACACACACACACACACACACACACACACACACACACACACACACACACACACACACACACACACACACACACACGCTGCTGCTGTGAAATCACAGACTGACAGAAACACACACACGGAGAGAGACAGACGCACACATTAAGACATGTGCTGATATCTCACAACTGCAGAGACACAAAGAAACACTAAAACAGACACAACACACACGTTCACACGCAACATTTTTTTCTCTCAACTTAAAATCTCTCAATGACAAGTAGCTGAGCTGTAGTGCATCTCTATCCAGCTGACCCCTCTGTTACCCAAACCTCCCTCTGCCTCATTCAGTCTCACCCCCTCCGTCGACCCCTCCATTCCTCTCTCTCACTCAAATCTCTGAGATCTTGACCTGACAGGGGGAATAGAGAGACTTAAAGGGTTATCTCTCCCCTGAGGAAGCTACATTAGATAAAGACAGACTCATAGCTGAATACTTTGATGCTCTCTCTCTCTCTCTCTCTCTCTCTCCTCTCTCTCTCTCTCTCTCTCTCTCTCTCTCTCTCTCTCTTTCTTTCTTTCTTTCTCTCTGTCTCGCTCTCAAGCTCTCCTTCTCTTTCAACGCTCTTTCTTTCTCTCTACCTCTCTCTCATATTCTCTCTCTCTCAGACACACACATATCCCTCGGTGTGTAGTCGTGGTTTAGTGAGCCATTATCACACAGGAGGTGCCAATTAATTGATGTCTGCTCTCAGAATAGAGGAGGGATAGAGCCGATCTGCATACAAAATGATCCTATTACATCATAGCACTGGTATGTCATACTGTTGGAGGAAGTTTCCAAGGTGTTTGTTGTTCCATGTATGAATCTGTTATTCAATGCGTTTCAATGGGCTAATAGCAGTAAGGCCAAATTCAATGTTTCATATATATATATTTTATTTTATTTTTATTTTATTTTTTTATGTACAGTGAAGGAAAAAAGTATTTGATCCCCTGCTGATTTTGTATGTTTGCCCAATGACAAAGACATTATCAGTCTATAATTTTAATGGTAAGTTTATTTGAACAGTGAGAGACAGAATAACAACAACAAAATCCAGAAAAACGCATGTCAAAAAAGTTATAAATTGATTTGCATTTTAATGAGGGAAATAAGTATTTGACACCTCTGCAAAACATGACTTAGTACTTGGTGGCATAACCCTTGTTGGCAATCACAGAGGTCAGACGTTTCTTGTAGTTGGCCACCAGGTTTGCACACATCTCAGGAGGGATTTTGTCCCTCTCCTCTTTGCAGATCTTCTCCAAGTCATTAAGGTTTCGAGGCTGACGTTTGGCAACTCGAACCTTCAGCTCCCTCCACAGATTTTCTATGGGATTAAGGTCTGGAGACTGGCTAGGACTCTCCAGGACCTTAATGTGCTTCTTCTTGAGCCTCTCCTTTGTTGCCTTGGCCGTGTGTTTTGGGTCATTGTCATGCTGGAATACCCATCCACGACCCATTTTCAATGCCCTGGCTGAGGGAAGGAGGTTCTCACCCAAGATTTGACGGTACATGGCCCCGTCCATCGTCCCTTTGATGCGATGAAGTTGTCCTGTCCCCTTAGCAGAAAAACACCCCCAAAGCATAATGTTTCCACCTCCATGTTTGACGGTGGGGATGGTGTTCTTGGGGTCATAGGCAGCATTCCTCCTCCTCCAAACACGGCGAGTTGAGTTGATGCCAAAGAGCTCGATTTTGGTCTCATCTGACCACAACACTTTCACCCAGTTCTCCTCTGAATCATTCAGATGTTCATTGGCAAACTTCAGACGGGCCTGTATATGTGCTTTCTTGAGCAGGGGGACCTTGCGGGCGCTGCAGGATTTCAGTCCTTCACGGCGTAGTGTGTTACCAATTGTTTTCTTGGTGACTATGGTCCCAGCTGCCTTGAGATCATTGACAAGATCCTCCCGTGTAGTTCTGGGCTGATTCCTCACCGTTCTCATGATCATTGCAACTCCACGAGGTGAGATCTTGCATGGAGCCCCAGGGAGATTGACAGGTCTTTTGTGTTTCTTCCATTTGCGAATAATCGCACCAACTGTTGTCACCTTCTCACCAAGCTGCTTGGCGATGGTCTTGTAGTCCATTCCAGCCTTGTGTAGGTCTACATCCTTGGAGAGCTCTTTGGTCTTGGCCATGGTGGAGAGTTTGGAATCTGATTGATTGCTTCTGTGGACAGGTGTATTTTATACAGGTAACAAACTGAGATTAGGAGCACTCCCTTTAAGAGTGTGCTCCTAATCTCAGCTCGTTACCTGTATAAAAGACACCTGGGAGACAGAAATCGTTCTGATTGAGAGGGGGTCAAATACTTATTTCCCTAATTAAAATGAAAATCAATTTATAACATTTTTGACATTAGTTTTTCTGGATTTTTTTGTTGTTATTCTGTCTCCCCCCCCCCCCCCAGCTAAGACTCTTAAGAATGAATGACTCTATTGGGGCAATTCCACATGAGACTTACCCCACACATTTTCTTATTTCGTTTTTACAACTACTCCTGCACCCAACGCAGCTGTTTTTATATTAATATCAAATCATTTCTGGGTAACAATTAAGTATCTTACTCTAATAGAGTTCAATTAAAATGGGGGCAAAAAATAGCTTTTTAGCAATAATTTTGCTAGGACTGTCTGGGAGTGGTCTGAGTGGGGAGGGGAAAACTGAAAACTGGCTGTTATTGGCAGAGAGGTTTGGAACCTTCTTTTTTATTGGTCTATTAACCAATTTACCTCATGGTGATGAAACCATCGAAAGCTGAAACCGCCGACCACGCAAACCTGCTGATTAGAAGGTCCTGTGTAGATTGTATTTTCAACCAGCAACTATAAGGATATAACACTGATCAAATTTGTTCAAACTTTTACAGTGTTCGTTTTATCATCCTGGAAAAACCGACGGCTGACTGCACTGTGCCTTTAACACAAGTTGCATTTGCATAATTATTAATATTACAGGAATATCCAGGAGTTGCACTTTGTACTGTTGCCATAGCAAGGCTGCATGTTTATGCTGTCTTGTCAACTACTAGGTCGTTGTTTGGCGTAACAATAACACGGCACAAACAGATCTGCGACCAGGCTACTTTAGCCTTAGCTCCACATTATTTAGCTGATGTTGGAATCATGAGCAGATAGACCTTTTGATTGTAGCTAGTTTAGACTCTGTGAAAAGGGTGTATGATTTGTATTTTCTCAGTGATGTACATTAAGGCAGTTAGAGAACCAGGGTTTAGGACTCATCCACTTAGATTAGTAAGGTCAGCATCAATACTGGTACTCCATCATCCATGACCTCTGATCCCACCATCATCCCCTCCCTCTCTCCTGCCCCGAACCCACCAGCCATCCATGACCTCTGATCCCACCATCATCCCCTCCCTCTCTCCTGCCCCGAACCCACCAGCTGTGACCATTAGCCCCACTCAGTCAGGAGCCTGTAGCTGCCTTCTGTTGGTCAGAATTTGAAAGATTCAAAGAGGCTCATCCAATCCCTGCTCTGACAGCCTGCTGAGATGATATGATAATGAGGCCCATGGTGGGGGGGTACTCCTCCATTGTGAGTGTGACTGTGGGCGTGTGTGTGTGTGTGTGAGTGTGTGTGTGTGTGTATGTGTGTATGCCTGTGTTTGTGAATGCATGCATGTGTGTGTGTTTGTTTGTTTGTTTGTGTGCATCTGCAGCTTTTTGTTTGTGTCAGAGGCAGGGCCTTCTAGCTCACCTGTCAACAGAGTGATTGAAAAGATGCTGTTAGTCACTCACCCCCGTTCACCCATCGACTGTTATTGCATTCTGGGTAGAATCAATTCTCACTGAACAGGGTATCAGCACAGAGAAACAGCACAGACTCTACCCATGAGAGAGAGATAAAGACAGAGCGATAAAGACAGAGATATAAAGACAGAGAGATAAAGACAGAGAGATAAAGACAGAGAGATAAAGACAGAGCATTAAAGACAGAGCGATAAAGACAGAGCGATAAAGACAGAGCGATAAAGACAGAACGATAAAGACAGAGGGATAAAGACAGAGAGATAAAGAGAGAGATAAAGACAGAGATATAAAGACAGAGTGATAAAGACAGAGAGATAAAGACGGAGCGATAAAGACAGAGGGATAAAGACAGAGGGATAAAGACAGAGAGATAAAGACAGAGCGATAAAAAGAGCGATAAAGACAGAGAGATAAAGACGGAGCGATAAAGAGAGAGATAAAGACAGAGGGTTAAAGACAGATGGATAAAGAGAGAGATAAAGACAGAGAGATAACGACAGAGAGATAACGACAGAGAGATAAAAAGAGAGATAAAGACAGAGAGATAAAGACGGAGCGATAAAGAGAGAGATAAAGACAGAGGGTTAAAGACAGATGGATAAAGACAGAGATAACGACAGAGAGATAACCACAGAGGGATTACGACAGAGAGATTACGACAGAGAGATAAAGACAGAGAGATAAAGACAGAGAGATAAAGACAGAGAGATAAAGACAGAGAGATAAAGACTGAGTGATAAAGACAGAGCGATAAAGACAGAGCGATAAAGACAGAGCGATAAAGACAGAGAGATAAAGAGAGAGATAAAGACAGAGATATAAAGACAGAGGGATAAAGACAGAGGGATAAAGACAGAGGGATAAAGACAGAGGGATAAAGACAGAGAGATAAAGACAGAGCGATAAAGAGAGAGAGATAAAGACAGAGAGATAAAGACGGAGCGATAAAGAGAGAGATAAAGACAGAGAGATAAAGACAGAGCATTAAAGACAGAGCGATAAAGACAGAGCAATAAAGACAGAGCGATAAAGACAGAGCGATAAAGACAGAGCGATAAAGACAGAGGGATAAAGACAGAGAGATAAAGACAGAGAGATAAAGAGAGAGATATAAAGACAGAGTGATAAAGACAGAGAGATAAAGACAGAGCGATAAAGACAGAGGGATAAAGACAGAGGGATAAAGACAGAGGGATAAAGACAGAGAGATAAAGACAGAGCGATAAAAAGAGCGATAAAGACAGAGAGATAAAGACGGAGCGATAAAGAGAGAGATAAAGACAGAGGGTTAAAGACAGATGGATAAAGAGAGAGATGAAGACAGAGAGATAACGACAGAGAGATAACGACAGAGAGATAAAAAGAGCGATAAAGACAGAGAGATAAAGACGGAGCGATAAAGAGAGAGATAAAGACAGAGGGTTAAAGACAGATGGATAAAGACAGAGATAACGACAGAGAGATAACCACAGAGAGATTACGACAGAGAGATTACGACAGAGAGATTACGACAGAGAGATAAAGACAGAGAGATAAAGACAGAGCGATAAAGACAGAGAGATAAAGAGAGCGATAAAGACAGAGAGATAAAGACAGAGCGATAAAGACAGAGAGATAAAGAGAACGATAAAGACAGAGAGATAAAGACGGAGCGATAAAGACAGAGGGATAAAGACAGAGCGATAAAGACAGAGAGATAAAGAGAACGATAAAGACAGAGAGATAAAGAGAACGATAAAGACAGAGGGATAAAGACGGAGCGATAAAGAGAGAGAGAAAGACAGAGCGATAAAGACAGAGGGATAAAGACAGAGTGATAAAGACGGAGCGATAAAGAGAGAGAGAAAGACAGAGGGATAAAGTCAGATGGATAAAGAGAGAGATAAAGACAGAGAGATAACGACAGAGGGATAAAGAGAGAGCAAGAGAGATAGAGAGATAGACATAAAGAGAGAGAGAGAGAGAGCAAGAAGGGGGGAGAGAACTCAACAGAGAGAATGAAATTACATAATAGAGAGTGAGTTTGGATGGAGAGAGAATTTTAACAGGAACCAACTTGATTAAACAGAGGCACGCTGTTGCGTAACTGATATTTGGCAGCAATAACATATCTGGCATTCAAATATTATTCAAGAATGAAGTTCTTGGCACACACAAACACACACTTGTTGTCATCTCAAGACTCACATTCACACTCTCGCCCTCTCTCTCACACACACACACACACACACACACACACACACACACACACACACACACACACACAAACACACACACAATGTCTTCCCTACCTATACCTAAAACGCAAAGCCAAACTAAACAGTGAACAACACACCACTGTCCTAGTAACAACACACCGATGTCCTAGTAACAACACACCACTGTCCTAGTAACAACACACCACTGCCCTAGTAACAACACACCACTGTCCTAGTAACAACACACCACTGTCCTAGTAACAACACACCACTGTCCTAGTAACAACAAACCACTGTCCTAGTAACAACAAACCACTGTCCTAGTAACAACACACCACTGTCCTAGTAACAACACACCACTGTCCTAGTAACAACACACCACTGTCCTAGTAACAACAAACCACTGTCCTAGTAACAACAAACCACTGTCCTAGTAACAACACACCACTGTCCTAGTAACAACACACCACTGTCCTAGTAACAACACACCACTATCCTAGTAACAACACACCACTATCCTAGTAACAACACACCACTGCCCTAGTAACAACACACCGCTGTCCTAGTAACAACACACCGCTGTCCTAGTAACAACACACCACTGTCCTAGTAACAACACACCACTGTCCTAGTAACAACACACCACTGTCCTAGTAACAACACACCACTGTCCTAGTAACAACACACCACTATCCTAGTAACAACACACCACTGCCCTAGTAACAACACACCACTGTCCTAGTAACAACACACCACTGTCCTAGTAACAACACACCACTGTCCTAGTAACAACACACCACTGCCCTAGTAACAACACACCGCTGTCCTAGTAACAACACCCCACTGTCCTAGTAACAACACACCACTGTCCTAGTAACAACACAACGCTGTCCTAGTAACAACACACCACTGTCCTAGTAACATCACACCACTGTCCTAGTAACAACACACCGCTGTCCTAGTAACAACACACCACTGTCCTAGTAACAACACACCACTGCCCTAGTAACAACACACCGCTGTCCTAGTAACAACACACCACTGTCCTAGTAACAACACACCACTGTCCTAGTAACAACACACCACTGTCCTAGTAACAACACACCACTGTCCTAGTAACAACACACCACTGCCCTAGTAACAACACACCGCTGTCCTAGTAACAACACACCACTGTCCTAGTAACAACACACCACTGTCCTAGTAACAACACACCACTGTCCTAGTAACAACACACCACTGTCCTAGTAACAACACACCGCTGTCCTAGTAACAACACACCGCTGTCCTAGTAACAACACACCACTGTCCTAGTAACAACACACCACTGTCCTAGTAACAACACACCGCTGTCCTAGTAACAACACACCACTGCCCTAGTAACAACACACCACTGCCCTAGTAACAACACACCACTATCCTAGTAACAACACACCGCTGTCCTAGTAACAACACACCACTGTCCTAGTAACAACACACCACTGTCCTAGTAACAACACACCACTGTCCTAGTAACAACACACCGCTGTCCTAGTAACAACACACCGCTGTCCTAGTAACAACACACCACTGTCCTAGTAACAACACACCACTGCCCTAGTAACAACACACCACTGTTCTAGTAACAACACACCACAATCCTAGTAACAACACACCACTGTCCTAGTAACAACACACCACTGTCCTAGTAACAACACACCACTGTCCTAGTAACAACACACCACTGTCCTAGTAACAACACACCGCTGTCCTAGTAACAACACACCGCTGTCCTAGTAACAACACACCACTGCCCTAGTAACAACACACCACTATCCTAGTAACAACACACCGCTGTCCTAGTAACAACACACCACTGTCCTAGTAACAACACACCACTGCCCTAGTAACAACACACCACTGTTCTAGTAACAACACACCACAATCCTAGTAACAACACACCACTATCCTAGTAACAACACACCGCTGTCCTAGTAACAACACACCACTGTCCTAGTAACAACACACCACTGTCCTAGTAACAACACACCACTGTCCTAGTAACAACACACCACTGTCCTAGTAACAACACACCGCTGTCCTAGTAACAACACACCGCTGTCCTAGTAACAACACACCACTGTCCTAGTAACAACACACCACTGTCCTAGTAACAACACACCGCTGTCCTAGTAACAACACACCACTGCCCTAGTAACAACACACCACTGCCCTAGTAACAACACACCACTATCCTAGTAACAACACACCGCTGTCCTAGTAACAACACACCACTGCCCTAGTAACAACACACCACTGCCCTAGTAACAACACACCACTATCCTAGTAACAACACACCGCTGTCCTAGTAACAACACACCACTGTCCTAGTAACAACACACCACTGTCCTAGTAACAACACACCACTGTCCTAGTAACAACACACCGCTGTCCTAGTAACAACACACCACTGTCCTAGTAACAACACACCACTGCCCTAGTAACAACACACCACTATCCTAGTAACAACACACCGCTGTCCTAGTAACAACACACCACTGTCCTAGTAACAACACACCACTGCCCTAGTAACAACACACCACTGTTCTAGTAACAACACACCACAATCCTAGTAACAACACACCACTGTCCTAGTAACAACAACAACTTTTTTTTGTACTTTCTGGATATCTACCCAGCTCTAAATTGTAAACCGTCAAGAGCATAGATATCCGGAAACATAAATAGTAAATAATTCTAAAACCATTCCAAAAGTACAATAATTATGAATATATGCTAGACCCAAACTTCCCTTATTTATATATAGTTTGGTTGTAAGCCCACCTCTTTCAAAAACAATTCTGAGTACTGTAGGTGTTCACACTTCCCAGGAACCACGAAGTCTGAGCACAGGGGGACGCTCCAGTCCTTCCCAGCTGAAACCTGTAGCAGCTCAGCCGTTGTTGGTGGTGGCACGTCAGAGAGTCTTGGGGTCATCGGATCTCAGGATCAATCTCCTTGGTAGCCCCAATTGAGAGGCCAGTCTTCTGAACACTGCTCTCTGTAAGTTCTGGGATGTCGTTGTAGCCCTTTGCAGTTTGCAATGAATAGACACTTCCCCTTTGAGACGTGTTATTGTAGAGTGTCCTTTAGCTGAAAGATAAAATATTTTGTGAATATTTTGTCTATATAATTAACTATCACACTTGATTAAACTAATTGCATTCTAAACTGAAGACCACGATTAGTTGATTATTGGAGTCATGTGTTAGCTGGGGCTGGGGCAAAAGTGTGTCACTAATCAAGCCCCTGAGGACTGGAGTTGACCATCCCTGATTTAGATCAGAGAAAAAACTAGCAAGTTTTAGAATGTTATAGGTATACCCTATGATATACATTACAGGTATACCCTACGATACACGTTTCAGGTATATGATTTCTTAGTGAGAAGAGAAATACAGTTGCCCTCTCCTCCTTCCATCTCCACCAAAACAGCTGCGTCACCTGTTCCTTGACACGTATGTGTGTGTGCTGTGTGTGCTTATTCGTGTGCGTGCACGAATGTGTCCCTTCATGCATGGTGTGTGCTGAGGTGTAGTCGTCCAAGAGGAGAGAGATAAATATTTACAGGGTCATCAGAGCGAGACAAACAGTAAAAGAGAGAGAGAGATACATATTTAAGGGGTGATCAGAGAGAGACAAACATTAGAAGAGAGAGAGAGAATGAGTCTTCACCATCTGTTTGGTTCCTTCTCCTTTTAGTCTATATGTCTATGTTTGATTACCCTGGGTGGGAGTTATCCCACTTACTGTCTGTCCAGCACTGGGACTCATCATGCTGAGTAATGTGCAGTCAGTCATTACTGCCCCCCGGGCGCTCTACGGTCATCTGTCAGAATAGAGACTCCCCCCCCTGGTGGCCAGATAGAGTAACTACCATCACTGTCTGTCCAGCACTGGGACTCGTCATGCTGAGTAATGTGCAGTCAGTCATTACTGCCCCCCTGGCTCTCTGCAGTCAACTGTCAGCACATAGAGAGACCCCCTGGTAGTCAGTAACTACCATCATAAGCATTATAGTTAGAAGTTGCCCATAAGCACAGATCTAGGATCAGATTATTTTACTCAAAATCCTAACCTTGAACATTACATTTACATTTTAGCAGACGCTCTTATCCAGAGCACCTTACAGGAGCAATTAGGGTTAAGTGCCTTGCTCAAGGGCACATCGACAGATTTTTCACCTAGTCGGCTCGGGGATTAGAACCAGCGACCTTTTGGTTATTGGCACAACGCTCTTAACCACTAAGCTACCTGCCGCCCATTAGAGGGAATTGAGAAATGTCTGAACCTGAATCAGTGGTTGGGAGCTACTTCTACGTATTTATTGAGTCAGATATCCGGCTGGCCCTGGAAAGCACCAGGGTTGGACCTCTTCCAGGGATGGAAATTAAGCTAGCCCAGTAGCCAGAGGTTAGGACTCTTCAGACTAGGTTAGCGGAACATTTGCCAAACTAGCATGGCAGCACAGATTCTGAGCTTTTTTGCTTATGGAGAATGTTTACCCGGGCTACTAGAAATTGCAGTCTGCTAGCCCGGCTGGCTAGTGCCACCAACGTCCTTAAGTTCCGTCCCTGGACCCTTACATTGACTCTTTGGGTCAGAAGAGTCAGGATGTGACCCAGATGTTGTTGTTATTGTTGCGTGTGGAAGGAAGAGGGAGATGTGACGCCTACATGATATTGTAGACACGGCACACATGTCATTGTGCTTCGTAGTAAACTGGAACAATCCAAGCCATAACTCACATTTACGAAGGAGTCAGAACACATCCCGATTCCCTCCTTGATGGTGAGTTGTTGACACAGGCAGCTGAGCTAGAGACATCCTCGGATAACAGTGGTCCGCACGTGTATACCCACACACACACACACACACACCCACCCACACACACGCACACACACACACACACACACACACACACACACACATACAAAGGGCTGGGATCAAATGGCTTGTTTCAATCATGTGGAACTGGAGTCTGCAGCTTCTGATGTTTGGGTCACAGCAAATGACTGGCTAGCATCGACCAAGATTCAACCAGGGACCTTCCCTAAGATGTTGCCCTTCAAAGATAAATCACAATGTTCCTCTAACCTTGAATAGGGCTGAATTTTTACTTCTATCAATTTTTTGTCACCAACAAGTCTATAAAAAAAACTCTCACTGTCAATACTGTCAATGCTGTCAATACTGTACTCAAACAAAGAACATTTGATGGTTCTGTTGATTCCTCTTCAATGTCGTCCTGATCTGAAGAACAAATAAAGTTATTTGATTGAAATTGAATAGAATGGAATCTAACTAATTAATGATAGTCTGATTGGCCGAGTGATTTGCATTATTCCATCTGAATAGGAATGTTTTCTGACATGTTTTGTTATTCACATAACTAGTGACAATACAGAAACAGAGACAGCAATGAAACATCTGCTGTCAGAGCTCAGCTATATGTGTGTGCGCGTGTGCGTGTGTGTGCGCGTGTGTGCGCGTGTGCGTGTGTGTGCGTGTGTGTGTGTGTGTGTGCGTGTGCGTGTGTGTGTGTGTGTGTGTGTGTGTGTGTGTGTGCGTGATGAACTGGCAGAGGGTGCGGTCCACCTTGCATCATAATTAGAGTTAATTGCCTTTTGAATAGCAGGAGTGTCGGTACATATATCACTTCAGTTTGTCAAAATAGACAGTGTGTTGTAGACGGTACATATATCACTTCAGTTTGTCAAAATAGACAGTGTGTTGTAGACGGTACATATATATCACTTCAGTTTGTCAAAATAGACAGTTGTAAGGGTTGGTGTGATGTGAGACCCAGGTGCGGTGCAGGATAAACAGTTTGCAGTGGGAAAGGATGGTGAAACATTCTCCCAGTCCTCTTCTGGATCATCCAAATGCACTCTAGCAAACTTCAGACGGGCCTGGACATGTACTGGCTTAAGCAGGGGGACACGTCTGGCACTGCAGGATTTGAGTCCCTGGCGGCGTAGTGTGTTACTGATGGTAGGCTTTGTTACTTTGGTCCCAGCTCTCTGCAGGTCATTCACTAGGTCCCCCCGTGTGGTTCTGGGATTTTTGCTCACCGTTCTTGTGATCATTTTGACCCCACGGGGTGAGATCTTGCGTGGAGCCCCAGATCGAAGGAGATTATCAGTGGTCTTGTATGTCTTCCACTTCCTAATAATTGCTCCCACAGTTGATTTCTTCAAACCAAGCTGCTTACCTATTGCAGATTCAGTCTTCCCAGCCTGGTGCAGGTCTACAATTTTGTTTCTGGTGTCCTTTGACAGCTCTTTGGTCTTGGCCATAGTGGAGTTTGGAGTGTGACTGTTTGAGGTTGTGGACAGGTGTATTTTATACTGATAACAAGTTCAAACAGGTGCCATTAATACAGGTAACGAGTGGAGGACAGAGGAGCCTCTTAAAGAAGAAATTACAGGTCTGTGAGAGCCAGAAATCTTGCTTGTTTGTAGGTGACCAAATACTTATTTTCCACCATAATTTGCAAATAAATTCATTAAAAATCCTACAATGTGATTTTCTGGAGAAAAAAAATCTCAATTTGTCTTTGTCTTCAGTTTGTCAAAATAGACAGTGTGTTGTAGACGGTACATATATATCACTTCAGTTTGTCAAAATAGACTGTGTGTTTGTCACGATCGTCGAACAGAGATGAGGACCAAGGCGCAGCGTTGCAGGCAAACATACTCTTTAATAGAGACACGATCAAAACCAACAAAACGAAAACGTGACAGTTCACGGTCTAACACAACAGACTAGAAACAAGATCTCACAAACTCTGTGGGGAAACAGGCTGCTAAAGTATGGTTCTCAATCAGAGACAACAAGCAACAGCTGAATCACGTTGCCTCTGATTGAGAACCACACTGGCCAACATAGAACAACAATAGTAGAATGTGAAACCTAGAACAAAACACATAGACTTTACACACCCTGGCTCAACATATTAGAGTCCCCAGAGCCAGGGCGTGACAGTACCCCCCCCTAAAGGCGCGGACTCCGACCGCGCCCACCAAATATCACAGGGGAGGGACCGGGTGGGCACTCCGCTTAGGCGACGGATCCGGCTCCGGGCCTGATCCCCGCTCCCTCTCCAACCCCCCAAAGTACCCCTGGTCCGGTCTGGCCCCGCTGGCCGGAGCTGGACTAAACACTGGTGGAGCGGATTGCTCTAGCTCCGGCGTGAAGCATCTGACCGGTGCCGGACCAGCCACCGGTGGAACAGGCACGGGCCGTGCCGGACTGACGACGCACACCACTGGCTTGGTGTGGGGAGCAGGAGCGGGCCGAGCCGGGCTGACGAAACGCACCACTGACTTGGTGCGGGGAGCAGGAGCGGGCCGGACCGGGCTGACGAAGCGCACCACTGACTTGGTGCGGGGAGCAGGGACGGGCCGTGCCGGGCTGACGAAACGCACCACTGACTTGGTGCGGGGAGCAGGAATGGGCCGGACCGGGCTGACGACGCGCACCACTGACTTGGTGCGGGGAGCAGGAACGGGCCGGACAGGGCTGACGAAACGGACCACTGACTTGGTGCGGGGAGCAGGAATGGGCCGGACTGGGCTGGCGACGCCACCGTAGACTTGGTGCGAGTGGCAGGAACAGGCCGGACCGTACTGGGAACACACACCACTGGCCCTACGTGGGGATCAGGAACAGGCCGGACCGGACTGGCAACACACGCCAGTACCTCTCGCCGTGCCTCTACATCCTCCTTCCCCCTGGTGACCAGTGACTCCCGTAACCTGGCGGCCTCCTGCTGCCCCGTCGTCCACGGCGTTAGCCCCCCCCTAAAAAATATATGGGCTTCACTCCTACCCGTGGACCAGGTCTCCATGCTTCTCGCCAGCCTTTCGCCCTTCTGCCTACACGTCAAGCCCCTCTCTTCCTCACCCGGCTTGACCCAGTCGAGGAGGCGCTGGATATCCGCTAGGGATTTCCCTGGCGATGGCTCCTCGACCCGCTGCTTGGTCCAGTTCAGGTGGGATCTTCTGTCACGATCGTCGAACAGAGATGAGGACCAAGGCGCAGCGTTGCAGGCAAACATACTCTTTAATAGAGACACGATCAAAACCAACAAAACGAAAACGTGACAGTTCACGGTCTAACACAACAGACTAGAAACAAGATCCCACAAACTCTGTGGGGAAACAGGCTGCTAAAGTATGGTTCTCAATCAGAGACAACAAGCAACAGCTGAATCACGTTGCCTCTGATTGAGAACCACACTGGCCAACATAGAACAACAATAGTAGAATGTGAAACCTAGAACAAAACACATAGACTTTACACACCCTGGCTCAACATATTAGAGTCCCCAGAGCCAGGGCGTGACAGTGTTGTAGACGGTACATCCTGGCTCATCCTGGTGGGAACTAGCAGAGAAAACTGAGCCAGGGAAAATGGGGAAATGAGGGCATAAATACACAGGTGAATCAGATAGACACAGGTGACACCAATAAGCAGATAATTAGTCCCGACTGTGAGTGAGGAGGTGCCTATGGTTGTCGGAGGATGACACCTAGTGGGTCGCTCCGGAACTGCGACCCACTCCTGTAACAGACAGTGTTTTGTAGATGGTACACATACTGTATCACCAGTGGTGTAAAGTACTTAAGTAAAAATACTTTAAAGTACTACTTAAGTAGTTTAAGGGGGTATCTGTACTTTACTTTACTATTTATATTTTTGACTACTTTTACTTTTACTTCACTACATTCCAAAATAAAATAATATACTTTTTCCTCCATACAGTTTCCCTGACACCCAAAAGTACGTGTTACATTCTGAATGCTTAGCAGGACAGGAAAACGTGTCAAGAAAACATCCCTTGCCATCCCTACTGCCTCTGATCTGGCGGACTCACTAAACATCAGTGACCATTTTACCATGTAAATCTTGGTGGGGCAAACTAAAAAAAAATACGTTTAGATGCATGCCAGCAAAGCCACTACACTACACAACACTTAACAATACATTATTTGCATGATGGTGACAAATGGTGCCGACAAACTGTTAGGGCCTACATAAAGCTGTCCCAACACCTTACCACCGCTACACCTGGCTATCAGCGGAGCCTGGTCTGGCAGCGAAACAGTTAATTCAGCCTCATTTACTGCCTTTAAAAAAAAAACATAGCTGATATGGCTGACTTGCTTAAACAAATGTGGTTTCTACTGACAATTGAGATGTACAAACTATGGCATAAGGGGACGACGAGCGGATAAGAGGCAATCCGTAATTTTGTTTAAGACATTGATGAGCGAGCTAGGATGGACGTAGTCAATATAACTACTTATACAGCGCTTTTGAAAAGTACGGCGACAGAATTCCGAACATGGGCCGTTCTTACAGTGTTCTCCCTGCACACCAAGTCAGAACCGTAGGATAAATAAAGGGGGAATATAAGCAGACAATGAAAGCTCTTACAATATTTGATGATGACGTTTCTCTAAAACAGGCTATAGGCTACATGTGCACCACCAAGTCAGAACAGTAGGCTAAGTTATGAGGGGGGAAGGGACCCAATTATTAGGGTGAGGCACATGGGCTACTAACAGCTTATTACACAACATACACTTAGTATTACTTTCTTAGCTACAGTATACATATCCCCCTGGCATATTATTTCATTTATGCAGCAGCATATAATACATTTATTTTATTATAATTATTTATAATTTTTTTGTGTGTAATTTTTACCCCCTTTTTCTCCCCAATTTCGTGATTACGATCTTGTCTCATCGCTGCAACTCACCAACAGGCTCGGGAGAGGCGAAGGTCGAGTCATGCGTCCTCCGAAACATGACCCACCAAACCGCGCTTCTTAACAAGCGCTCGCTTAACCCGGAAGCTGTAGTGAAGCCGCAACACTGCGATGCAGTGCCTTAGACCGCTGCGCCACTCGGGAGGCCCATACGATACCTTTTTTTGGACTCACCTTGTTGTGCCGTGCTCACTTGAACAGGAAGGTGGCGCAGCGGTCCAGCTTGTGGGCTCTAGAAAGAGGCCCGAAATTCCGACTTGGAATTCCGAGTTGGATGACCGTTCAAAATTATTTTCCAAGTCGGAGCTAGTTTTATCCGAGTTCCCAGTTGTGTTGAACTCACTGGAGTCTGAGATTTCCCAGATCTGAGCTTCCAGTTGTTTTGAACGCGGCAGAAGTCATGCTGGATTGACAGCATGACCAATGTATTCAAACTTTTCCAGCCCATGGCGTTACCCCTTTTTTCGTGACATACTATTGGTAGTTACGATCTTGTCTCATCGCTGCAGTTCCCCTACGGACTCGGCGAAGGTCAAGAGCCAAGCCGCACTGCTTCTTGACACACTGCTCGCTTAACCCGGAAACCAGCCGCACCAATGTGTCGGAGGAAACACTGTTGAACTGATGACCGAAGTCGACCGACCAGCCCAACACAAGGAGTTGCTAGAGCACATTGTTTGCAAACTAATATGTGACACGTATTAATGCCAAAATAACATGCAAAACAAAAACAAAAAAACAAAAAAAGTATCAAAAGTCAAAGTAGAAGTATAAATCATTTCAAATTGCTTATATTAAGCAAACCAGAAGGCACAATTTTCTTGTTTTTTTATTTTATTTATGGATAGCCAGGGGCACACTCCAACACTTCTATATCATTTACAAACACAGCATTTGTGTTTATAATCCATATTACAGCTTCATCGTGCAGAAGAGGTACAATTGTAACGTTAAAAAGGAAAGAAAATGCCATCGATCATCATCTTCGCTAAACACAAATGCTTTGTTTGTAAATGACGTAGAAGTGTTGGAGTGTGCCCCTGGCTACCCGTCAATAAAATACAATACAATAAAATTGTGCCTTCTGGTTTGCTTAATACAAGCAATTTGAAATGATTTATACTTTTACTTTTGATACATTAGTATATTTAAAACCAAATACTTTTAGACTTTTACTCAAGTGGTATTTTACTGGGTGACTTTCACTTTTACTTGAGTCATTTTCTATGAAGGTATCTTTACTTTTACTCAAGTATGACAATCGGGTACTTTTTCCACCACTGTGTATCACTTCAGATAACCTGTGGTACATTACCAGCTCTGCAGTTTGGTACCAGGGGCGCGTTCAGCGGGACGCAACGTTTTGGAACGTTCAGATAGAAATATGTTATGTAGAACAAACATGTCTGACATGTAGAACAAAGAGTCATATCGGCTCTATTCATGGCATTTCTATTTGCAACGTTCGACAACGTTTGAACGGGGGGGGGGGGGGGGCCTGACGTGCAGCCTGGTTGCCAGATCAGTTTGTGCCGACCACTGACAACGACCATAGATGGTTGGCTTCGGCTCAACCAGGACAAACGGTATCTGGGGCTAAGCTACATGATCAGGCCCTGTGTTACAAGAACAGAACGCTAGAAGACGAGCCAAGGAGAGTTTGTTTATCAGCAGCAGAGATGTACTGTGTGTTCTCCAGACCAGCTGGGTACCGAGAACACAGCAGCTCTCTTTGACACATAACAACTCTTGTACACTTTATCTAGCTGGGAAACAGCTCTGACCATCAGTGTGGGAAAAGAGACTGATAGAAAACCATTCCGTCGCAGATTATTGTTTTACAAAAGCGTGGTTAGGTCACTTTGGAACGTTTAGGCAGCGTTCGATGCCTCCTCACAACCTGGTGTGCTTGGCAACATATTCATTGGACCTGTGTAGCAATTTCTTGATTGAAAAACTTCTAAAGGCTCGTCCTTCACCTCTCGGCCGACTCTCTCTACTTCCGTTATCCCACAGACCTCGTCTATCTCCTTTTATCTTGTCTGGACAATGGTTCAACGGTGGTACAACTTTTAGCAAACACTTACGCACGCACACACAGACACACACATACACTCATGCACGCACACACACACTCTCTCTCCCAAGTAGGTTTTTGCGTGCGTGCATCAGTGTATATCTGTGTGTGCGATGCATTTGTATGTGTGTGTGTGTGTGGTAGGGTGTCACTGCAGGAAGTCAAGTCATTTAGAGAATATTGTCCTTCGATAAAGACAACCCCCCCCATCCCCCCACCCCTTTTCAGCCCCCAACTCCCCAACTCCCCATCCCCCCACCCCTTTTCAGCCCCCAACTCCCCAACTCCCCATCCTCCCACCCCTTTTCAGCCCCCAACTCCCCAACTCCCCATTCTCCCACCCCTTTTCAGCCCCCAACTCCCCAACTCCCCATCCTCCCACCCCTTTTCAGCCCCCAACTCCCCAACTCCCCATCCCCCCACCCCTTTTCAGCCCCCAACTCCCCAACTCCCCATCCCCCCACCTCTTTTCAGCCCCCAACTCCCCAACTCCCCATCCCCCCACCCCTTTTCAGCCCCCAACTCCCCAACTCCCCATCCCCCCACCCCTTTTCAGCCCCCAACTCCCCAACTCCCCATCCTCCCACCCCTTTTCAGCCCCCAACTCCCCAACTCCCCATCCTCCCACCCCTTTTCAGCCCCCAACTCCCCAACTCCCCATCCCCCCACCCCTTTTCAGCCCCCAACTCCCCAACTCCCCATCCCCCCACCCCTTTTCAGCCCCCAACTCCCCAACTCCCCATCCTCCCACCCCTTTTCACCCCCCCACCCATTTTCACCCCCCATACCCCACCCCTTTTCACTCACCCCCAACCCCCAAACCCCCCACCTCTTTTCACTCACCCATCCCCCCACCCGTTTTCACCCCCCAACCCCCCACCCATTTACACTCACCCCCCATCCCCCCACCCCTTTTCACCTCCAACCCCCCATCACAGATGTTATCAGGGAAAGACTGAAATGAGAAGAGCATCCTTACTTACATTAGGTGGAGGTGAGGGGGACAATTGTTCTATTGTAATGCTACTACAGAGGGGGAAGGGGGAGGAGGATAGAAGGGATGGGGGAGGAGGATAGAGAGGATGGGGGAGGAGGATAGAGAGGATGGGGGAGGAGGATAGAGAGGATGGGGGGAGGAGGATAGAGAGGATGGGATGGAGGATAGAGAGGATGGGATGGAGGATAGATGGGATGGGGGAGGAGGATAGGGAGGATGGGGGAGGAGGATAGATGGAATGGGGGAGGAGGGCAGAGGGGATGGGGGAGGAGGGCAGAGGGGATGGGGGAGGAGGATAGAGAGGATGGGGGAGGAGGATAGATGGATGGGGAGGAGGATAGATGGAATGGGGAAGGAGGATAGATGGAATGGGGGAGGAGGATAGATGGAATGGGGGAGGAGGATATATGGAATGGGGGAGGAGGATTATGGGATGGGGGAGGAGGATAGAGGGGATGGGGGAGGAGGATAGATGGAATGGGGGAGGCGGATAGATGGAATGGGGGAGGAGGATAGATGGAATGGGGGAGGAGGATAGATGGAATGGGGGAGGAGGATAGATGGAATGGGGGAGGAGGATAGATGGAATGGGGGAGGAGGATAGAGGGGATGGGGGACGAGGATAGATGGGATGGGGGAGGAGGATAGATGGAATGGGGGAGGAGGATAGAGGGGATGGGGAGGAGGATAGATGGGATGGGGGAGGAGGATAGAGGGGATGGGGAGGCGGATAGAGGGGATGGGGGAGGAGGATAGAGGGGATGGGGAGGAGGATAGAGAGCGAGAGAGAGAGAGAGAGAGAGAGAGAGAGAGACAGAGAGACAGAGAGAGAGAGACAGAGACAGAGACAGAGACAGAGACAGAGACAGAGACAGAGAGAGAGACCATACCAGATAGGACCATTCACCAGAGAGAAGCTCTGATACTGGGCTGTGATTCTTCCTGTGTCAGAACATGTGTCAGTCTCCTCCCTCCCTGCCCTGGAGGGTGATCAACATGTGTCAGTCTCCTCCCATCAGTGATGGATGTCTCTCACACCCACACACACACAGGTCAGCAAGACAGTTTCAGTTCACTGAAACATCAATAATTTACAGCTCATTAACTGTAGAGGAGGGAGGGAGGGAGGGAGAGAGGGAGAGGAGAGGAGAGGAGAGGAGAGGAGAGGAGAGGAGAGGAGAGGAGAGGAGAGGAGAGGAGAGGAGAGGAGAGGAGAGGAGAGGAGAGGAGAGGAGAGGAGAGGAGAGGAGAGGAGAGGAGAGGAGAGGAGAGGGAGAGGAGAGGAGAGGAGAGGAGAGGAGAGGAGAGGAGAGGGGAGGGGAGGGGAGGGGAGGGGAGGTGGATGAGGTAGGATAGGAGTGGAGGGAGGGAGGGAGGGAGGGAGGGAGTGAGGGAGGGAGGGAGTGAGAGAGTGAGTGAGTGAGGGACTGAGTGAGTGAGTGATTGAGTGAGGGAGGGAGGGAGGGAGGGAGGGAGGGAGGGGAGGGAGGGAGGGAGGGAGGGAGGGAGGGAGGCGTGCTCCTGTGCTCCTGTGGCATGTACTCATATTTGTTCATGAGATATACTGTACTCTCTTTTCACATCTTGTTGTTGAGTATACCCTGTTCTACTACGACCATCCCCCTCCCTCCCTCCCTCCCACTAATGGTTAGGGTTAGCTTCACCCCGCAGCGTCCCTCACTAGCTCCACTGGTCTCAGAAATGGCCACCTCTGCAGTGTAGTGCAGAAGACATCTGTCCAGTGGCAGACACTGTATCCATCTTTTTCCTGTATCTCTCTCCATATCTACCTGTCACTGTATCCATCTCTTCCTGTATCTCTCCCCATATCTACCTGTCACTGTATCCATCTCTTCCTGTATCTCTCCCCATATCTACCTGTCACTGTATCCATCTCTTCCTGTATCTCTCTCCATATCTACCTGTCACTGTATCCATCTCTTCCTGTATCTCTCCCCATATCTACCTGTCACTGTATCCATCTCTTCCTGTATCTCTCCCCATATCTACCTGTCACTGTATCCATCTCTTCCTGTATCTCTCCCCATATCTACCTGTCACTGTATCCATCTCTTCCTGTATCTCTCTCCATATCTACCTGTCACTGTATCCATCTCTTCCTGTATCTCTCCCCATATCTACCTGTCACTGTATCCATCTCTTCCTGTATCTCTCCCCATATCTACCTGTCACTGTATCCATCTCTTCCTGTATCTCTCCCCATATCTACCTGTCACTGTATCCATCTCTTCCTGTATCTCTCCCCATATCTACCTGTCACTGAATCCATCTCTTCCTGTATCTCTCCCCATATCTACCTGTCACTGTATCCATCTCTTCCTGTATCTCTCCCCATATCTACCTGTCACTGAATCCATCTCTTCCTGTATCTCTCCCCATATCTACCTGCCACTGTATCCATCTTCTTCCTGTATCTCTCTCCATATCTACCTGTCACTGTATCCATCTCTTCCTGTATCTCTCCCCATATCTACCTGTCACTGTATCCATCTCTTCCTGTATCTCTCTCCATATCTACCTGTCACTGTATCCATCTCTTCCTGTATCTCTCCCCATATCTACCTGTCACTGTATCCATCTCTTCCTGTATCTCTCCCCATATCTACCTGTCACTGTATCCATCTCTTCCTGTATCTCTCCCCATATCTACCTGTCACTGTATCCATCTCTTCCTGTATCTCTCCCCATATCTACCTGCCACTGTATCCATCTCTTCCTGTATCTCTCCCCGTATCTACCTGTCACTGTATCCATCTCTTCCTGTATCTCTCTCCATATCTACCTGTCACTGTATCCATCTCTCCCCATATCTACCTGTCACTGTATCCATCTCTTCCTGTATCTCTCTCCATATCTACCTGTCACTGTATCCATCTCTTCCTGTATCTCTCCCCATATCTACCTGTCACTGTATCCATCTCTTCCTGTATCTCTCCCCATATCTACCTGTCACTGTATCCATCTCTTCCTGTATCTCTCCCCATATCTACCTGTCACTGTATCCATCTCTTCCTGTATCTCTCCCCATATCTACCTGTCACTGTATCCATCTCTTCCTGTATCTCTCCCCATATCTACCTGTCACTGTATCCATCTCTTCCTGTATCTCTCCCCATATCTACCTGTCACTGTATCCATCTCTTCCTGTATCTCTCCCCATATCTACCTGCCACTGTATCCATCTCTTCCTGTATCTCTCCCCGTATCTACCTGTCACTGTATCCATCTCTTCCTGTATCTCTCCCCGTATCTACCTGTCACTGTATCCATCTCTTCCTGTATCTCTCTCCATATCTACCTGTCACTGTATCCATCTCTTCCTGTATCTCTCTCCATATCTACCTGTCACTGTATCCATCTCTTCCTGTATCTCTCCCCGTATCTACCTGTCACTGTATCCATCTCTTCCTGTATCTCTCCCCGTATCTACCTGTCACTGTATCCATCTCTTCCTGTATCTCTCTCCATATCTACCTGTCACTGTATCCATCTCTTCCTGTATCTCTCCCCATATCTACCTGTCACTGTATCCATCTCTTCCTGTATCTCTCTCCATATCTACCTGTCACTGTATCCATCTCTTCCTGTATCTCTCTCTCAGCTCCAGGACTCTTCCTCCATTAGTTACCATATCAGATCATTCAGCATGGCAAGCCGTTATATGAATAAAGCAACTTCGTGTCTCTATACCTAGCTCTCTGTCAGTCTGATGGTGTAACCATGGCAACAGAATCGGACCATTTACCAGAGATTACTGCAAAACTGTGGCCACAGGTGATGAAGATTCATTTGGATTGTCAGGTAGCCTGTGTGTAGACGTGTACATGCATTGTCCTACTTATATCTGTTGTTTGTCTCTGCCTAGCAACCCATGATACAGTATATGAAGTGCTGTTTAACTCTCATCAACTCAGGGTAATGATTCTGTTTTTGACTCGGCCGGATTATTACATGACCCGTCAAGTTAGCCAGGTGTGTCTGGGGGTGATTACGGCCATCTATTGTATTTCATGAACATGTGTCCATGTCCAGACAATAGTGACCCATCCACTTAGCTAGATGAGGCTTGGAGGTGGTTATAGCATTTCTTTCACATGACCCATCAATTTAGACAAAGTGTGTTGGGCAAGCGTCATCTAATAATGATAAGATATTTTTATCTGGACACTTTCTGTTTTTTTGATATTGCTACTATGCAAGTAACCACTTCACTGTACCATTTACACCTTCTGTATCCTGTGCATGTTTATTTTTTATTTTTTATTTTATTTTACCTTTATTTAACTAGGCCAGTCAGTTAAGAACAAATTCTTATTTACAATGACGGCTTACACCGGCCAAACCCGGACGACGCTGGGCCAATTGTGCGCCGCCCTATGTGACAAATAAACTTAAAGAGATGGGTGGGGCTAAAACCTTAAGAGGGCGTGAACGATGCTGAATGGGTGTAGACAAAGAAGAGCTCTGCAGTAGGTTTACCAAAACATTCAAGGGCCATTTTCCCAAAAGTGGGATTACAAGTTTATCAACTTTCAAAGCAGAATTACTTCCCCATTGTTCCTCAACTGCAGTGTATGATATACCATTTTCTAGCTCTGAGTCTCTACTTTTATCCAATGTAAAAAAAAATATAAAAAAACATTTGAAATATTGCTACATAAGACCGAATCGAGGAGGATAGATGGGATGGGGGAAGAGGATAGATGGGATGGACCGAAATGTCCACTCGATGTTGTTGCTAGCACTTGCCCCCAAAAAAGTGTACCGCCTGGGTTAACTTGATTGAGTTTACAAAAACAGGTAAGATGTAAAGTGGGAGGATGAACACACAAGTACACCATAGAGTGCGTGTAAAATCTGTGTAAGTACAATGTAATTACTAGGTATTACACAGGATTCGAGTTAGTTAACATGAAGTACTTGTAATTAATGTGTACTTATACAGTACATTACCCATCCTGATAACCCTGGCCCTTATTTTGAGGCTTTCCGGAAGCACCATCCAAATGGGAGGATGAACACACTAGTACACCATACAGTACTTTATCATTACTAGGTGTTACACTGGATATACAGTGCATTCGGGAAAGTATTCAGACCCCTTGACTTTCTCCACATTTTGTTACTTTACAGCCTTATTATAAAATCGACGATTTTTTTTTTTTTTTTTTTTACCTCATCCATCTACACACAACACCCCATAATGACAAAGCAAAAACAGGTTTTTAGAAATGTTTGCACATTTATTTAAAAAAAATTGAAAACAGAAATATCATATTCACATAAGCATTCAGACCCTTTACTCAGTACTTTGTTGATGCACCATTGGCAGCGATTACAGCCTCGAGTCTTCTTGGGTATGATGCTACAAGCTTGGCACACCTGTATTTGGAGAGTTTCTCCCATTCTTCTCTGCAGATCCTCTCAAGGTCTGTCAAGTTGAATGGGGGAGTGTTGCTGCACAGCTATTTTCCGGTCTCTCCAGAGATGCTCGATTGGGTTCAAGTCCGGGCTCTGGCTGGGCCACTCAAGGACATTCTGAGACTTGTCCCGAAGCCACTGCTGTGTTGTCTTGGCTGTGTGCCTACGTTCGTTGTCCTGTTGGAAAGTGAACATTTGCAAAAATATCTAAAAACCTGTTTTCACTTTGTCATTATGGGGTATTGTGTGTAGATTGCTGAAGATTGTTTTATTTTGATCAATTTTAGAATAAGGCTGTAACGTAACAAACTGTGGGAAAAGTCAAGGGGTCTGAATACTTTCCGAAGGCACTGTAGCTAGTTAAAAGTAAGTGTAGCCTGAGGGGTACTTAATTAATGTGTATCTACAAAGTATTTTACCTATCCTGACAATTATATCATCAGCTTCTGAAAGCTCCATCCAAGTGGAGAAAATAAAGACACTAACACACCACAGAGTGCTAGCATTAATAGTGCTTACTAACAATAAATTAGCTAGTGTTTAGCTACATTGAAAAGGAACAAACATTACTCATAGTGTGTTGACACAAGTAGCTAGCTAGCTGTCTAACGTTAGCATGATACCCTGAGAACAAGTGACCCATCCACAAGTGACCATCGAGCCCAGCTAACGTTAGTAGCGACCATAGCATACAGTGGCTTGTGAAAGTATTCACCCCCCTTGGCATGTTTCCTATTTTGTTGTCTTACAACCTGGAATTAAAATATACTTTTTTGTGGGGGGGGGGGGTTGTATCATTTGATTTACACAACATGCCTACCACTTTGAAGATGCATAATATTTTGTATTGTGAAACAAACATGAAATAAGACAAAAAAACAGAAAACTTTGGCGTGCATAACTATTCACCCCCCCCCCCCCCCCCCCCCCCCACCAGACAGGAAGGTATGACCACTCTGACATGTTACCAAGGTAACCCCATTACCACCAGACAGGAAGGTATGACCACTCTGACATGTTACCAAGGTAACCCCATTACCACCAGACAGGAAGGTATGACCACTCTGACATGTTACCAAGGTAACCCCATTACCACCACACAGGAAGGTATGACCACTCTGACATGTTACCAAGGTAACCCCATTACCACCAGACAGGAAGGTATGACCACTCTGACATGTTACCAAGGTAACCCCATTACCACCACACAGGCAGGTATGACCACTCTGACATATTACCAAGGTAACCCCAATACCACCAGACAGGAAGGTATGACCACTCTGACATGTTACCAAGGTAACCCCATTACCACCAGACAGGAAGGTATGACCACTCTGACATGTTACCAAGGTAACCCCATTACCACCAGACAGGAAGGTATTACCACTCTGACATGTTACCAAGGTAACCCCATTACCATCAGACAGGAAGGTATGACCACTCTGACATGTTACCAAGGTAACCCCATTACCACCAGACAGGAAGGTATGACCACTCTGACATGTTACCGAGGTAACCCCATTACCACCAGACAGGAAGGTATGACCACTCTGACATGTTACCAAGGTAACCCCATTACCACCAGACAGGAAGGTATGACCACTCTGACATGTTACCAAGGTAACCCCATTACCACCAGACAGGAAGGTATGACCACTCTGACATGTTACCAAGGTAACCCCATTACCACCAGACAGGAAGGTATGACCACTCTGACATGCTACCAAGGTAACCCCATTACCACCACACAGGAAGGTATGACCACTCTGACATGTTACCAAGGTAACCCCATTACCACCACACAGGAAGGTATGACCACTGTGACATGTTACCAAGGTAACTTCATTACCACCAGACAGGAAGGTATGACCTCTCTGACATGTTACCAAGGTAACCCCATTACCACCAGACAGGAAGGTATGACCACTCTGACATGTTACCAAGGTAACCCCATTACCACCAGACAGGAAGGTATGACCACTCTGACATGTTACCAAGGTAACCCCATTACCACCACACAGGAAGGTATGACCACTCTGACATGTTACCAAGGTAACCCCATTACCACCAGACAGGAAGGTATGACCACTCTGACATGTTACCAAGGTAACCCCATTACCACCAGACAGGAAGGTATGACCACTCTGACATGTTACCAAGGTAACCCCATTACCACCACACAGGAAGGTATGACCACTGTGACATGTTACCAAGGTAACTTCATTACCACCAGACAGGAAGGTATGACCTCTCTGACATGTTACCAAGGTAACCCCATTACCACCAGACAGGAAGGTATGACCACTCTGACATGTTACCAAGGTAACCCCATTACCGCCAGACAGGAAGGTATGACCACTCTGACATGTTACCAAGGTAACCCCATTACCACCAGACAGGAAGGTATGACCACTCTGACATGTTACCAAGGTAACCCCATTACCACCAGACAGGAAGGTATGACCACTCTGACATGTTACCAAGGTAACCCCATTACCACCACACAGGAAGGTATGACCACTCTGACATGTTACCAAGGTAACCCCATTACCACCAGACAGGAAGGTATGACCACTCTGACATGTTACCAAGGTAACCCCATTACCACCACACAGGAAGGTATGACCACTCTGACATGTTACCAAGGTAACCCCATTACCACCACACAGGAAGGTATGACCACTCTGACATGTTACCAAGGTAACCCCATTACCACCACACAGGAAGGTATGACCACTCTGACATGTTACCAAGGTAACCCCATTACCACCAGACAGGAAGGTATGACCACTCTGACATGTTACCAAGGTAACCCCATTACCACCAGACAGGAAGGTATGACCACTCTGACATGTTACCAAGGTAACCCCATTACCACCACACAGGAAGGTATGACCACTGTGAGATGTTACCAAGGTAACTTCATTACCACCAGACAGGAAGGTATGACCACTCTGACATGTTACCAAGGTAACCCCATTACCACCAGACAGGAAGGTATGACCACTCTGACATGTTACCAAGGTAACCCCATTACCACCAGACAGGACGGTATGACCACTCTGACATGTTACCAAGGTAACCCCATTACCACCAGACAGGAAGGTATGACCACTCTGACATGTTACCAAGGTAACTTCATTACCACCAGACAGGAAGGTATGACCTCTCTGACATGTTACCAAGGTAACCCCATTACCACCAGACAGGAAGGTATGACCACTCTGACATGTTACCAAGGTAACCCCATTACCACCAGACAAAATGCCGATAGTCACAGTATCTGTATCGGCTGGGAATGACAATGAAAGATGGAAGGTGAACATTGTTATATTAGCAGAACACTGCTTCTATGGTATTATGTAAAGGATTGTTTATTCTACATGGACCTGTTACTACATTTGAAAATTATCAAAACACTTAGTTTAGAATATGTACATAAATTCAGCAATTCTCATATTACTCTGTAGGCGACTGACCTATTCAAAGCTTCCTCTGGCTACTCACCATACATCTCCCTGTAGTTATTGAACTCAACCTGCAGGAGGTTTGTTTGTTGTGATTGAGTTGGGGGAAACAGCTGCAGGCAAGGTTCTGACAGGGACACACCCAAGACACACCCCCATCAAACCACACCCCCAAGCCAGCTCACGTTTGGCTTCTGTCATGGCTAAATCAGGCTAAATCAGCAGTTGCAGTTCCCTTTAAGTGACAAAAAGAGTCATATTATTGCAGTGGTTTTGTATTGCCATCTAGTGTACTTTTACTAAACACTGAGTTTACACTGACGTCGTCCATGCCCTTCCTGCAATACTGTAACCTCACCAATAGGTGTCGGCGAAGTACTACATATTACTGCATTATCACATATCACAGGTAAAGTACTACAGATTTCTGCATTATCGCATGTCCAACCTGCTTTTATCATAGTCATATAGGGGCAACTTACTGTCTGTAAACCTTGATTTGCTGGTTTTCAATCTAGATAGACAGCAGTGGGAGAGATGTCTCTATAGCCAGAGAGGGATATATGTGTCTATGGCCAGAGAGGGAGATATGTCTCTATGGCCAGAGAGGGAGATATGTGTCTATAGCCAGAGAGGGAGATATGTCTCTATAGCCAGAGAGGGAGATATGTGTCTATGGCCAGAGAGGGAGATATGTCTCTATGGCCAGAGAGGGAGATATGTCTCTATAGCCAGAGAGGGAGATATGTGTCTATAGCCAGAGAGGGAGATATGTCTCTATGGCCAGAGAGGGAGATATGTCTCTATGGCCAGAGAGGGAGATATGTCTCTATGGCCAGAGAGGGAGATATGTCTCTATAGCCAGAGAGGGAGATATGTCTCTATGGCCAGAGAGGGAGATATGTCTCTATAGCCAGAGAGGGAGATATGTCTCTATGGCCAGAGAGGGAGATATGTGTCTATGGCCAGAGAGGGAGATATGTCTCTATAGCCAGAGAGGGAGAGATGTGTCTATGGCCAGAGAGGGAGATATGTATCTATGATAGCCTGCGTATCAGCCTGTTTCTACCTGAACAGGCTATCAGGCTGGTATGCAGGCTACTAGGCTGGTACACATGTTTTCAAGCTGGTACGAAGGCTATCAGGCTGGTACGCAGACTAACAGGCTGGTATGCAGGCTATCAGGCTGGTACGAGGTTATCAGGATGGTACGCAGGCTGGTATGCAGGTTCTCAGGCTGGTACGCAGGCTATCAGGCTGGTATGCAGGCTATCAGGCTGGTATGCAGGCTATCAGGCTGGTACGCAGGCTGGTACGAAGGCTATCAGGCTGGTACGCAGGCTATCAGGATGGTACGCAGGCTGGTACGCAGGCTCTCAGGCTGGTATGCAGGCTATCAGGCTGGTATGCAGGCTATCAGGCTGGTATGCAGGCTATCAGGCTTGTACGGAGGCTATCAGGTATGGACCAACAGAGAGGGCTGCCTTATTTCTAGCTCTTAGGAAACTTTGCAGTATTTTGTTTTTTAATGTATTATTTCTTACGTTATTAGCCCAAAACATTGTATGTGTTATTACTCGGGATATACTGTCCGAGTCGGTCCAGCCAGTTGGGTTCTCAGTTCATCGCACAGACAGGAATAAATATCTCTCCGGGAAGCAGAAGGGCGGAGGTGTGTGTTTCATGATTAACGACTCGTGGTGTAATTGTAGTAACATAGAGGAACTCGAGTCCTTCTGTTCACCCGACCTAGAATATCTCACAATCAAATGCCGACCGTATTATCTCCCAAGATAATTTTCTTTGGTTATAGTCACGGCCGTGTATATCCCCCCTCAAGTCGATACCACGACGGCCCTCAAAGAACTTCACTGGACTTTATGCAAACTGGAACCACATATCCTGAGTGTCACGCCCTGGCTCTGGGGACTCTGTTATGTTGAGCCAGGGTGTGTAGAGTCTATGTTTTGTGTTTCTATGTTCAGGATCTAGTTCATTGTGTTTCTAGGTTGGCCGGGGTGGTTCTCAATCAGAGGCAACGAGAATCAGCTGTTGCTTGTTGTCTCTGATTGAGAACCATACTTAGGCAGCCGTTTGGGCATTTGTGTTTGTGGGATCATGTTCCGTGTAAGGTTTGTGTTTATTACTGAGGACTTCACGTATCGTTTGGTTTGTTGTTTTGTTCGTGCTAAGTACGTTTATTAATTAAAAGATGTACGCATATCACGCTGCGCCTTGGTCCGCTCATTACGACGATCGTGACACTGAGGCTGCATTTATTGTAGCTGGGGATTTTAACAAAGCAAATTTGAGGAAAAGGCTACCGAAGTTCTATCAACACATCGACTGTAGTACTCGGGCTGGTAAAACACTCGACCACTGCTACTCCAACTTCCAGGATGCATACAAGGCCCTCCCCCGCCCTCTTTTCGGCAAATCTGACCACGACTCCATTTTGCTCCTCCCTTCCTATAGGCAGAAACTCAAACACGAAGTACCCGTGCTATGGACTATTCAACGCTGGTCTGACCAATCGGAATCTACGCTTCAAGATTGTTTTGATCACGCGGACTGGGATATGTTCCGGGTAGCTTCAGAGAATAATATTGATGTATATACTAATACGGTGACTGAGTTCATCAGGAAGTGTATAGGACATGTTGTACCCACTGTGACTATTAAAACCTACCCTAACCAGAAACCGTGGATAGATGGCAGCATTCGCGCAAAACTGAAAGCGCGAACCATCGCATTTAACCATGACAAGGTGACTGTGAATATGGCAGAATACAAACAGTGTAGTTATTCCCTCCGCAAGGCAATCAAACAGGCAAAACGTCAGTATAGGGACAAAGTGGAGTCGCAATTCAACGGCTCAGACACGAGACGCATGTGGCAGGGTCTACAGACAATCACGGACTACAAAAGGAAAACCAGTAACGTCAAGGACACCGACGTCTTGCTTCCGGACAAGCTAAACATCTTCTTCGGCCGCTTTGAGGAGAATACAGTGCAACCGACGCGGCCCGCTACCAAGGACTGTGGGCTCTCCTTCTCCGTGGCCGACATTTAAGCGTGGTAACCCTCGCAAGGCTGCCGGTCCAGATGGCATCCCTAGCCGCGTCCTCAGAGCATGCGCAGACCAACTGGCTGGTGTGTTTACGGACATATTCAATCTCTCCCTATCCCAGTCTGCTGTCCCCACATGCTTCAAGATGGCCACCATTGTCCCAGTACCCAAGAAAGCAAAGGCAACTGAACTAAATGACTATCGCCCTGTAGCACTCACCTCTGTCATCATGAAGTGCTTTGAGAGACTAGTCAAGGATCATATCACCTCTACCTTACCTGCCACCCTAGACCCACTTCAATTTGCTTACCGCCCCAATAGATCCACAGATGATGCAATAGCCATCACACTGCACACTGCCCTATCCCATCTGGACAAGAGGAATACCTATATAAGAATGCTGTTCATTGACTATAGCTCAGCATTCAACACCATAGTACCCTCCAAGCTCATCATTAAGCTCGAGGCCCTGGGTCTGAACCCCGCCCTGTGCAACTGGGTCCTGGACTTCCTGACGGACCACCCCCAGTTGGTGAAGGTAGGAAACAACACCTCCACTTCGCTGATCCTCAACACTGGAGACACACAAGGGTGCGTGCTCAGCCCCCTCCTGTACTCACTGTTCACCCATGACTGCATGGCCAAGCACGCCTCCAACTCAATCATCAAGTTTGCAGACGACACAACAGTAGTAGGCTTGATTACCAACAATGACGAGACAGCCTAAAAGGGAGGAGGTGAGGGCTCTGGGAGTGTGGTGCCAGGAAACAACCTCTCATTCAACGTCAACAAGACAAAGGAGATGATCATGGACTTCAGGAAACAGCAGAGGGAGTACCCCCCCCTATCCACATCGACAGGACCGCAGTGGAGAAGATGCACAATTGAGAGCATCCTGTCGGGCTGTATCACCGCCTGGTACGGCAACTGCACCGCCCGCAACCGCAGGGATCTCCAGAGAGTGGTCTGCCCAACGCATCACCGGGGGCAAACTACCAGCCCTCCAAGACACCTACAGCACCCGATGTCACAGGAAGGTCAAAAAGATAATCAAGGACAACAACCACCCGAGCCACTGCCTGTTCACCCCGCTATCATCCAGAAGGCGAGGTCAGTACAGGTGCATCAAAGCTGGGACCGAGAGACTGAAAAACAGCTTCTATCTCAAGGTCATCAGACTGTTAAATAGCCATCACTAGCACATAAGAGGCTGCTGCTGCCTATTGAAATCACAGGCCACTTTAAGAAATGGAACACTAGTCACTTTAATAATGTTTACATATCTTGCACTCCTCATCTCATATGTATATACTGCATTCTATTCTATAATATTCTTCTGTATCTTAGTCTATGCCGCTCTGACATTGCTCGTCCATATATTTATTTATATATTCTTATTTCCATTGCTTTACTTAGATTTGTATGTATTGGGTATATGTTGTGAAATTGTTAGATATTACTTGTTAGATATTACTGCACTGTCGGAGCTAGAAACACAAGCATTTCACTACCCCCGCAATAACATCTGCTAAATCTTTGCGAATGTATTAAAAATAAAAAACGGAAATACCGAATTTATGTAAGTATTCAGACCCTTTGCTATGAGATTTGAAATTGAGCTCAGGTGCATCCTGTTTCCATTGATTATCCTTGAGATATTTCTACAAATTGATTGGAGTCCACCTGTGGTAAATTCAATTGATTGGACATGATTTGGAAAGGCACACACCTTTTTATATAATGTCCCACAGTTGACAATGCATGTCAAAGCAAAAACTAAGCCATGAGGTTGAAGGAATTTTCCGTAGAGCTCCGAGACAGGATTGTGTCGAGGCACAGATCTGGGGAAGGGTACCCAAACATTTCTGCAGCATTGAAGGTCCCCAAGAACACAGTGGCCTCCATCATTCTCAAATGGAAGAAGTTTGGAACCACCAAGACTC